TATGGCGTTTGAAAAATTAAAGAAGTGATACTCATACATTAGTAAGATAGAGATGCCTGAGCAACATATTTATTTTTATTGGATTAGAAAAGCCTCTTCCTGTTTATTATTTATTTATTTTTGCATTAATAAAAAAATGCCTTCGCCATTTTGTCAGGAATATCGAAGGTCTGTAAGAATTTATAAAAAACTGTAAAGCAAAGGTATAAAAAGTGAGGGTGAAAGTAAATTTTTATTTAGGTGTTCAGAAAAAGTAAAATAAAATTAGTATATAAATTAGTTAGATAAAAAGAGTAAGTTCTGGTTCTAAAATCAAAATTGGATAGATATTAAAATAGATCTGAACATCCTCCAATTAAAGTAGGCCACATCAAATAAGGAATATAGTAGAGATAACAAAGAATAGGTAGGAAGAACTGATGGAAAGAATACCTATATTTGGAATTCAAAATAAGTACCTAGTAGGTATTTTAAAAACAGTTGTTACCTGATAATTTGATGAGGTAAACTCAAATTGCTTTAAAAGTATTTATACATAAAATATGTTGCTGTTTACTTAAATTTATGTTATAAGTCATAATATCAATATAATATAAATAATTATTTATATTATATTGATATTTGTTATAAGGATTATGATTTATTAATTTATCATTTATTAAAGATTATTAAAGTTATTTATTAAAGGCAAATTTATTAAAATTTACATTCACCATTTTGTCAATAACAGTAAAATATTTTAAGGTAACATCTACATTTTGCTGCCAGAGATTATCTGAACAAGGGGTAAGTTCTTAATTTTTTGCCTCTAATACCTCTAATTGTCTCTAATTTCTGTTTCATCCAAAGGGTGGGTCTAATTGGACGCTTTTAAAGGGAAACACCCTTGTCTATAGGAGATAGACAAAAACTAATATCGGTGTCTGGAGCTCAATTTTCATCAAAAACATGATGGTAAAAACCGCACATCGATATCTGTTACCGTTTCGAAGTTACGGGATATTTTTCAAAAATGTGTATTTTTAAAAAATCAATTAACTTTTTTGCTGTGGAAAATATTGTATTTCTGTGAAAACATTTCCAAAGCACCTTTTTACATAGAATTTAATTAATGGTTTAAGTATAATCAAAGTATAATCTTTTGAAAATTAATAATTTAAGAGTTATTAACAGAAAAATTGATTTTTTTATTTGGGACACCCTGTATATTTATAATTAACTGAGAAAAACTTAAATTACCTCTCCAAAAATATAGCACACTTGATATTTTGTTATAATCCCCTTCGAAATATAGAATTTTTAAAAGTTAGCCACTTTTAATTAGTAGGCTTTGGACCCCTTATTGATGCCCTGCCCCTAATGTAACTGAAAACATATTTTTCCAGCAAGACGAGGCACCGCCTCAGAATGCTGAAATTAGCAGCAACCTTTTTCAGCCAATTTCGAGAATAATTGAATAGCTAAACAAGATCACAGCCATTGGCCGTCGAGGCCGCCGGACTTAGTGCCTATATGATCTAATCCTATGGATATCTTTGCGGAAGAATAAAGGTTCTTCTTAAATTGCCCGTATAATCTAGACAAGAATTAGAAGTACTTAGCGGTTATGCGAGGGTATCTTTCTCAGTGGGGGTGAGTTAATGAATTCCGCAAGAAATGTTCAAAAACGGCCCCGTCTGTCCATATCAGAAGACGGTCGATATGTCGAACTTGTGTCGAACAGTAGATATGTCGGTAGCAAAATCTCATGTCTTGGTTTGCTGTTTATTTTTATTGTTATTACATATAATTTAAATGTGTTGATGTTGATTAAATATTGTTTAAATTGTTATAAAATTCTGCATCTCTCATTGCAAATATTATTTTCGTTTTAATTGCTGCTTACATCTAAAATTTTTTGGTATTATAGCCGGCGCCGTTCAAAGCCTACTTATTCAAAGTGGGTGAATTTTTACAAACTCTATATCTCGAAGACGAACCGAGCAAAATATAAAGTGTATATTTTTGAAAAGGTAATTTTAAATTCTTTTCAATGAATTAAAAATATACAGGGTGTCCTATATAAAAAATCAAATTTTCTGTTGATAATTCGCAATTATTAATTTAAAAAAAATATACTTATTCTACGTAAAAAGATGCTTTGGAGATGTTTTCACAAAAAAACAAGATTTTCCATAGCAAAAAAGTTACAGCGATTTGTTAAAAATGCATATTTTTCAAAAACCGTAACTCCGAAACGTTAACGATATCGATGATCGGTTTTCACCATCATGTTTTTGATAAAAATTGAGCTCCAGACACCAATATTAGTTTTTGTCTATCTCTTATAGAAAAGGGTGTTTCCCTTTAAAAGCGTCCAATTTGGCCCACCCTGTACACTTGAAAATATACATTTGTTGATATCAAAAGTGAGACAGTGATGTAAATCCAGCTTAACCCGCATGAATAAGCAGGGGGTCTCAATAGATTTTACACTCTTCTCTTGGAACAACAGCATCATAGAGTTTTTTAACGTCCACCCGTCCAACTACCCGCATCGTCCAACGTCGCTTAACTTGGGTGATTTTGTCAAATAAAATACATTTATATTATTATTATTATATAATCAGAAAATATTATTTCCTGTAAATTAGCGAAAATTCCCGCAGCAAATGCAGTGAAGCAACATTTAACGCTATAACAAAAAAATAAAAGATTATTTCAAACTGTCTACCGATGCGTATATATTAACCCGACCATTTTTTTTATTTTTAATTACTTGAATCTGGACGTTAACCAACCAATTGGTAATTGTTTCGAAAGACAGAAATAGTAAAAAATATATCCGTCGTTTTCGGTGACACAACAAAACACACATCTGTTATAAAACAGCGCGACAGTTCCCTTCATTAGTCATCGCACTAAACAATATATTTACCCATCCATTTCGAAGGAAATTGTTAAGTATTTGCCCATAAAAACCAGCGAGAACTTTACTTACTCCATTATATAATAATTTCCATGCAAATTACATAATTTGATACTTGTAGCCGGTGTTTAAAAAGGTACCGTACTAGCCTCAGAGTACTAAAAAATATGTGGTACAGGGTGTCACAAATTTGACGGTGACCATCAGGATTTTGACAACCATAACAGATTTTTTTTTCCAATAATACCTAATAACTATCGCAGATGCTGCAGCAATGACTTTTCCTTGATACAGGTTGAGCTTGTTCGGGTACCAATTGACAGCCATATGTCATGTCAAGAGACCAGTTGTACTTTATGCTAAGCATTAACAGTTCCTTTGTAATTTTAGGATTATATATCCTTGTATGAAGACTGTGCCCCTATACCTGTGCTCCTGTCTATTTATCCAGTGGACATTCTGCATCTCCCTGAGAGTTTCACTGCACTAGAGTCGTAGCTCTGGACATAGATAGGATTACACTGATCCTTGTCTTGCTAGTTCATTGGATTTTTCTTTGCCTTGGACACCTCTGTGTCCCGGCTGAAATAAAAGATATAAGGGAGGTCAAATGTTGACAAAGTTGTACAATTTTGTGATCAATAAAATGCCGTTTTGCAAACTAAAAATATTTATCCAAATACAGTATCATCGAAAAAAATGTCGTCCAAGACGGCTAGGGAATGATAATCGATCATAATTTTGGCGAGGTCAATCTCTAGATGTCATTTACTAAAAATTGACATAAAACTAGTTAAAAATTAACACTAATTATAAAAATTCTAAAAAAGGACAGAACGTTTTCAGACACAAATCTATTTCCAAAAATTATTTACCTCAAATTTTGAACTGCACCATTTATTAAAAATTTTTACTCGCTACTACTACTTTAAGAAATAAAGATGAGTACAGGAAAAGACATCTAAATGACATCTAGGGCTTGACCTCGCCAAAATTATCAAAGGCTGCCATTAACCAGCTGCGGCAGCCGTCTTTGACGCCGTTTCTTTCGATCTAATAGTATAATATTTTGCATGCAAATTACATAATTCGATACTTGGAGTCAGTGTTTAAATAAACTGTATTAGCCTCAGAGAACCAAAAACTATGTGTACACAGGGTGTCTGAAATGGGACATAAAATTGCGAAACTACTATAATTCGCATCTCTTATGGTTTCCAAGATCCTAATTTTCAGCCTGGTATTTAGGACACCCTGTACATACTTATTGGTCCGTTGTAGGCAGTCTACGATAATAATAATTGATGCATTTTAGTTAATATTTTATGGTAGCGGCTTTCTTCCAAACTAATCATACTAAGACAGACTAAATTGCTAATTATACACAGGGTGAGTCAAAAGATGCCGAAGCGCCTTTAATTAAATCTCTTTTCTCTCTCTTCTCTATTTAAGTGTAACTAATAACATCATAATTGTACATACACTAATAATTGTACATCATAAATCAACATAGCTTTTATCAAACTGTCATGTTAAGCCCTCCTTATATTTATAATCTCTCTTTATTGAGTAATTTTCAACAAAATTGAGTCATATTTCAATAATGACAGCTCCCAGCGAAAAACTAGTTATGTCACAGTATTCTACGTGAAAAATTCTATGGCGCTTAGTTTCACCTTTTTGATAATCTATAAGATAACCCAGATACGACAGTCAAAAAATGCAAGAATTTCAAATTCGCCCTGTATTTGAGAAAGTAAGGGAGATAGAATAAATCTGTATGCAGAATTTTTAGTTTCAAATAAAAGTAACACAGTAATATGAAAACCGAAACTTTGTAACTCTACTCATAAATAAGAAACCCTGTAAAACATACGAAAATGGGACACCCTGTACACTGGGTCACCCTGTAGACTGACGTAAAACCAGTTGCATCAATAATTAACCCCACCTACACATCTTTCGTTACTCTGATGTAGGAAATCCTAGATATTGTTGCATTCGCACGAAAAATTGTCGTAAAACAATATCATTGTCTCCCCCCCTCCCGCCGTCACTGGAGAGATGGAGCGGGAATTTGAATTTTTGTTCCCACCGGCATTTTACCCCAAGTATAAAGATATGTTCGACTTTCACTGATATTTCTCATGTAGAGTGAATTATTCTCTAAGTCCTTGGTGTAAAAACGAACAAGATCACTGGGAGACTGTCTTATAAAAATCAGACACGCTGAATGTATTTGAGTGTAAACAGTATAAGAGAATGATGAGAAAATTTCAGATAAACATGGATTGTTTTTGGAAATATTTTGCGATTCTTTATATTTTATCGTTTTGTAGTGTTTTTGCAGCTGAGGACAAGAATGGGACAATTTTCAAAACACGTGAGTACTCTTTCCAATTATATTGTTTGGGTAAATTTTATAGAAATACTATATTTTGTGTATTTCCTGGTAATTTTAATACTCTCAGTTATAATAAAAAATATAAATAAGTCTTAATAACGGCAAATATTATCAGCACTGGTAGATCTCGATAAAAGTTTCGTCTTTTCTCATTGGCGCTTTTCAAAATAGTCCAAAATGACAGTATTTTCAATAGCATCAGGATTGGTTATTTTACTTTCAAAATTATATTTCAATTATATATTTCATTTTTTAAATTTTGAGAATCACTGCATTTTTTCTGTTTTTTTTTTAGTTTTTAGAAATTTAATCTATTATTATGTTATTAGTACGACATTGTATTTTTGAAATTTTAGAAATTTGACAAATTTTTTTCGTAAAATACAAAATTTTCTATTTTTTTTCGTTGAAAAAATCTTTATAGAGGTCTTTCTGCAAATCCTTTGCATTTTTTTAAGACTCACTCTGTATAAATAAAAAAATAATCTTTTTCAAGAAATTATAATATTGATTTATATATTTTACGTAACAATTCTGCTCAATTAGCTCATTTTGGCAAAATAAATAACCTTCAATAATTTAAAAATAAGTAGTTTTACATTTTTTGTGGTGGGTTTATTATAGAAAAATATCTAGGTATATATTTGCCCACTGAAACAGAAAATAAAAAAAAATTGTAAAATTCTCGGATCTCTGAAAACATTTTTTTTTAAAATACTTTTCTGTTTCAGTGCCGAAATACCTAGCTATTTTCGTATTTTATAGTGTTAAGTGTTATTATTGTAAAATACCTATAGATAAAGTATACAGATACAGGGTGAGTCTTAAATAAGTGCAAATATTTTTAGGGATAGTCTATTTCGACACCAGAAACACATCTATGTTTTTTTCGCAAAAAAATTGAAAATTTGGAATTTTTTGAACATTTTTTTTGGGACTTTTCTTAATTTTTAGTTAAAAAAAACATAATATTTTCAAAATATGACAATTTAGGTAATAGATTAAATTTACAAGAAAAAACTATAGAAAAGATCCAGTGGTTGGTTCTCAAAGTTTCACGACAATAATTACTTGATGTCGACTCCTATACCGGGTGCGTCTCAAAAGTGGCTCATTCCTATAACTTTTTTATTTTTTTCATTTAAAAAAACGAGAGTTGGTATGTTAGAATATGCCATAAATTAGGATTGATTGACGTATTTAATTGCTTTTGGGCACTTCCTGTTTCACTGGAAATGACTCCAACTTTTAATTTTTAAATGGCACTTTCGGTATATTTTTCCTTTATTCGATAGAAGATGACACTCAAAATAGAATGACATAATATCATATGCCAACTTTTGACATTTTCGCTTCAAACAAAATCGTATTTTAAATTTCAATCTAGAGTGCCATGCCTGTGTTAAAAACACTAATTTTTAATTAAGGAGCCTTGGAAAAATATATTTGATCGTCTAATGTTTTTCGTGTCCTGGCGCGTTAAAAGATGCCCAAGTTGTATTTTTAGTCATATCTCAATTTTTTGTGAACGTGGCTCATTAGCATATTTGGAAAAAGTATTTTTTTACGAATAATTTGGTATCGGACACTTGGTATTTCGAGTCAAATTGTTGTTATGAACCGTATGTTACAATTTCAAATAAACAATGAATGATATGCAATTCTATTCAGTGTTATTTTCTATCGAATAAAGTAAAAAATACGGAGGGTGTTATTTAAAAATAAAAAGTTGTAGTTATTTCCGGTGAAACAGGAAGTAACCAAAAATAATTGAATACGTCCATCAATCTTAATTTATGTCATATACTAACATGCCAAATCAAGTTTTTTTTATCTGAAGAAATAAAAAAGTTATAGTGGTGAGCCACTTCTGAGACGCACCCGGTATATACCTAGAAACAGACTACAATGAAAGTGAAGTAAATATTTTAAGTTAGCATCTCTATTTTGCCGGTAGAGCTAATCTGGACGGGGTCTACTTTGTTTACACGGATTCCGAACCGTAGTCCTCAGCTATTTAGGGCCTACCGACTTACGAGCGTCTAAATCGACTCTTACTTACTTACTCTTATTCAATCTCATCTTTCATCATCATCTCATCTCTCATCAATCTAATCTCAATAGATTTACACTATTGTCTTGAAGCAACAACATATTCTAATAATAACTATTCAGGCTTGAGACTATTGAGAATACATATGACAATGGCACTGGTTTCTGTCACTTTCATTCACAGGTAAATTATATTTTCTGTCATTTCTTGGATGTCATCTACATAGATAAAGGAAATAAATTTAGATTGGGAAGCCCGTCAAAATTTTAGGTCGCGAAATTGTTTTGGATGGCGACCGTGGTACGCGATCTGCCGCTGCTATAGCCGTTGCTAAGAACAACCGCCAAACAATAACAGAAATAAGTTTCTCTTGTCAAAGTCAGAATCTTCAAAAATTATAAAATTTTTCAAAATTTAAACCGCCCATAGTTCAGTCATTGGGGATCAAAAAAGGAGCCTGCTTGGAAAAAAGTCCAGAAGTTTTGAAACTTTGCAAGTTTATAGATTTTGGGGTCCCTAACTAAAATCCATAAAATGCACATTTCCAGAGTTGCCGCCGGCGCCGGCGCCGCCATTTTCCCAAGATGGCGCCCAAAATCGGTATTTTGTAAATATCTCGAAAACTATGCGTTTTTCGCAAAAATTTGAAGAGAGCAATATTAAAGAGAATAAAATTTCCTATATGTTATGTTATACAAAAATGTTCGCTAAAGTCAACCGTTTAGACACAAAATCACTGGAAATTTGTTGCTTAAAGTATGATATACATATACATGTATACATATGTATATATGTAGTCGATTTTCCGAAATCAAATGTCGATTAGTGTTCACTAAAACTAGTTTTAGTTTAATTTCTTCAATTTTGTTATGAAACAGTGGCGTATCATTAATTCGCTCATTAATATAATTTATGAATAATTAATTGTCGTGCTGGACAGCATTCATTGCGAACTTACCACCAGGTTCAGCATTGGTCTGGTTGTACCAAAGATGCCGAAGAATGGGGTTGGAAGAAAACAAAAACAGGCTTTCTTCCAGTCACAACGTTGAAAGATCCAGCTCCAAAATCCCTAGTGGCATTTTTATCTTGTAAATGCAAAACCAACAACTGTGGTAAAGCCTGCGGATGCAGAAAAGCAGGATTAAAATGTTCAATGATTTGTGCATACTGCAATGGGAAATCCTGTGACAACGTCACTGAAGTGTCACTCCACGAATCGGATGAAGAGGAGTTGGACTTGCCTGTAGATATCCCTCTGGCGGCTGAAGATGAAGAGTTGGACGTATTGAAAGACCACCCTGATGAGCCCAGCACAGCAGACACAATCGACTTTGACATCAATGAGTGAGATCCGTCGGGCTTGTGCAAATAAGTTAAAGTTCTTAATTTACCTAGTGGAGTAGGCCTCCAGGGAGATCACGTTAAAATAAACGCGCCATGTACTTTACCTCTTGGGTGGTGTGGAAACAGTACACATTTTAAATAATTAAAATTAATTATTCATAAATTAATGAGCGAATTAATGATACGCCACTGTTTCATGACAAAATTGAAGAAACTAAACTAAAACTAGTTTTAGTGAACTTTTTTTTTAGTTTTTTAGTGTTTCATTTCGGAAAATCTACTGCTTCTAGATAATACGAGTTTATCATATTTTACGCAAAATTGTAAAATTTCCAGAGATTTTGTGCCTAAACGGTTGACTTTAGCAAAAATTTTCATAAAACTTTTTTTATAGGAAATTTTATTGTTTTTAATTTTGCTCTCCTCAAATTTTCGCGAAAAACGCATAGTTTTCGAAATATTCACAAAATACCGATTTTGGGCGACGGCGGTAAGTCTGGAAATGTGCATTTTATGGATTTTAGTTAGGGACCAAAAAACCTATAAACCTGCAAAGTTGCAAAACTTCCGGACTTTTTTCCAAGCAAAAATCCCCAATGACTGAATTAACATTGAAAACATACCGAAAAGTATTTTAAGCGTCCATTCTCAAGGTAATTATTTCTATCTTGTGAATTTAATTTAAATTTTATTTACTCAAACCCGTGATAATTGTGAAAAAGTGGCATTAAAAACTTAAAAAGCTGTGTTGTGAACTGCAAAAACCATCGAGGATCGTGGCATAACGTCGGTTTCCAATGTTTCATAGGTATTTCATACATGTTATATAAAATAAAGTTTCTTGTATGCAACACACTGTATTTTATTTTTAAAATTAAAAGAAAATAATAAATTTGAATAAATAATATTTGGCGACATAATTCCGGAAAAAACCGAACCGATCCGAAATTATCAAAAGCTTTAGGTCGCGACCGGTGAAGGGATAGCGCCAAATAGTACTTACATTGTCCTTATGGAAACCAAAACAAATTATTACATAAATCCCCTATATTATGCATCTGTTTATTCGTTTGTAATTCGAACCGAACGATTAAATAGACCAAATCCACGATTATTAAACAGGTAAATAGCGCGTGTATACCTACGATTCTTACGTGTCGCTCTTAAATAACAGTTAATACACTCTATCCTACTTTCGTCGAGTCGCGCACTCAAACATTACGTAACCGCGTTCATTGTAAATCTCATTGGGTCAATGTCGCAACTACATAAAGACGAAGAAGAAAGTGCCATGCCGGCCGCGACGTAGGTACCTCGGTACTCTACACGCACCGGCAGCGAATTCTTGCTGTTTTTTGACGTTTTTTCGGTGTTATGAGATTTGCTTTCGATAGATAATTAACGATTATAATCGATTAGATCTACGGAGCGATCAACAATGATGGAAATAGTTGGTAATACCACAGAATAAGAAATAACTATCATTGACAAATAAATAAAGCTGTCTCTTTAGTTGTCAGTTTTGAGTCAATATTTTTTAATTCTCTTTTGTGTTCTCTTTCGTGTCGATTGCTGATTGAATTGGAGCCAGAAATGGCTCAAAACGAAATAAGTAAATTACCAACAGATATTCAGGCTGAGGGGACAAACGCCATATCCAAACTACTTCCATTTAAATCCCGAATATCTTATGAAAAGGAATACAAAAATTTTCAAAAATGGAAGCAATTAAAAAACATGCGAGAAGAAATAAAGTTTTTAACCTACCCTCGCTGTTAAAGTAATCATTTAATCTACCCTTACGGTTAAAGTAATATTTTATTGATGTTTGACCATCAAAATCTTAAAAATAAAGAAGTTATCTAAAAATGTGCTACAATACGGATATAGTATAATCCTTTATCTTTAATTTCTTTCTTCATTTGTGTAAAAATACCTAGCCAGTTTTACATAAAACGTTAAATACCGAACGCTTATTTTGCTACTTTTAATATTAATATTTAATTATGCAACAATCATATACCTATTAGATACCTTAATATATCTAATTTTTAATGTTGCAATTGCGAAAAAATACACATATATCTAATCGAAAACGAAACATGCTCTACCCAATCTAATACAATAAACAGGCGTCCTCGTTTTCGCCGGATTATATAAGAGCATCGCACGGTGTTCTTGCACAACATTCTTCATTAACTGGGTTAGTCTTCCGCCTTCGATTAGTCAAGTACGGTTTACTGTATAATTGGAAAATCGGTATAAAATGCGCGCACAGGAGTGACAGATTATTTGCGATTTATTCATTGTTGGAAACACAAATAAGACACGCAACACATAAACATAATTAATAAATATAGACACGTTTAAATAAAAATAAGTAATTTAGTACTAAACATATTCTATAGTGTTTGGCTCACCCTTATAACCTTTAACTTTATTTTTTCAGATAAAATAACGAGATTAGGTATTTTACTACAGGACATAAATCAGGATTGATTGACGTTTTCAATTACATTCGGTCACTTCCTGTTTCACCAGAAATGAATACAACTTTGAATTTTTAAATAGTACCCTCGGTATTTTTTTACTTTATTTGATAGACAATGACATTCTTAATAGAATGACGTATCATTACGTAAACTTCTGACAGTTTCAATTAAAAAAATTGGCGCCGGGAGGCACATATAGCCGCCAATACTAAAATATGTTAATAAAAAGTTGGTAGGCAGTTCTTTTAGTTTCAAAGTAAAGGAATTTTTCCAATTTTTTTTATCTCAAAAAAGAGTTTGACTGATTTTGATATTATTACAAATATTATTCCTAATCTTAAATTGAAAACCGCGTTTCGCTAGCTACTGTAATTTTGGAATTACGATTTTTTAAAGTTTTTAACTCCCTCCCATACACCCTTACCAACCCCCACCCCCATCAAAAACTAATGGCCAGATTCTCGGGTGCCACAGTATTTTTGTGTCAAATTTGGTTCAACATTTTTAGAACAGAGAATGATTCAAAAGAGATAAATATTTGACGTGAAGGCGCGGGTTTCAAAAAAATTACAGTTTCCAAATTACTGTTGCCAAGTTGCAATCTAGGTGTCAGACAATCTGATGGTCCAGCAATTCGGTAATATTCTAAGTAAGTGTACTGCTGTGACCATTGTTAATTAATCTTATTTTCCTCTTCTTCTTCTTGTAAAAGGTCGAAGTATTGTCAATTCTGTCAGTTATTGCCTTCTTGTGATGTTGATGTCCAGCTGTCATACCAACGTTTTGAAGGCCTACCCACTGGGCATCTTGTTTCTATATTTCCTTTTATTGTTCATAAAATTTTCATTTTCTTTTTTGTTTCTGATGTTTCTGCCCTTTTTTTCAGCAGCGTATGTCAGCACGGGTCTAATAAATAAATGATGATGATGAGTTGAGGTTATCTTTTAACGGTTCGGTGAGAAAAATGCTTGTTACAAATAATCATAAAGTAGGTTAATACGAATTTATGCAATGCTCGTTGATGATCCTGTCGGAATAGTGAAATAATTGCGAGAGTTATTACCTACATATACATAAAGGTTAAACAAAAATTACTTTATTATATGTTGCAAAAAAATAACGCTGAAACAATATTTGAACAATATTTCTGTATCACCCTCGAAACGAATTATTTTCATGCCAATTTTCCGATTATCCCAACAAATTTATATTAATTTTTTTATTTCTAATTTTTTTTTAAATTGTAATTTATACGGCCAATATAACCAATAATCAGAAATAACCAAAAATCAATATTATTATGTATATAACAACAAATTATAACAAATATATTTTTTTCAAAATTTTCAAAAATACTAATTTTTGTGACGTGATTGACAATATAAAAAATTCATTTTAACGCCTAGGCATAAAAGTGAAGCACTTTTACGCCTAAGCACAAAAGTGTATCGTGCTGTTGTTCAAGGGAAAAGTGTAAAATCTATTGATACACACTGCTCATTCACGCCGGTTCGAGGCCGGATGAGATCAGGTTGAGCCCAGTGTGGGCCTGGGACTTTTTTTTTTTTTAATGAAAAATTATTTTAAAAAACACATTTTTTGAATAAAACGTTTACATGAATTTCTCTATCAATAAATTTCATTGATTTCACACATTTTTTGAACACAACAAAATAATATTAACTAAACAAAACTAGAAAACGCCATTTTTACTACATCACAAGCAAATAAAAATTAATACGTAGCCAAGAGTCATAATTCAGGATTCCTCTGGGGGTGCCAAGCAGTACCTGGGGGAGGGGGCCGGCACCCCCGGGCACCCCTGTAGTTACGCCAATGTTCTTGAAGTAATTTTAGATAAAACGTAAAAATAAATAAAATACTATCGTCTATTATAATCTGGTAAATATTTATTTTAGGGCAGGTAAAATTATTTAACTATAGTTAAAAATATTGGTCTTTTCCTCAAAATGGTAATTAAAGTTATGTTCTCTAAAATGGTTTATAGGCATGTTAAATATATATTAAATTTTAATGTGGTTTGATAATAAAATCTTAATCTAGTTTGTTTTATAGTTTACGCCCTAAAATAATTTTAACGACCTTGTAACAACTATAAATAACAAACAAATAAAGGTAAACAACATAAGATAAGCAATTCGTGATTAATTATAAATGTAAATAATTTTATTTTGCAAAATGTGTTTTAATTATATTTTTTTTTATTTTCTTATAAAATATTTTCTATGAAATATCAAACAGTTCTACAGAAAATTCTTTAAAAAACATGTGTATTTAATTTTTTTATTATTAATTTTATATTTATTTTTATGTTTTGTTCAGAATTAATATAAAAATAATATTTGATTTTTTATGATATGTCAAGGGTTGATAGATATGAGCAATAGCTTTTCTAAAACTAGAAACGTTTTAGTCAAGTACCTATTACTATTTTATCTTTCACGTGGTGAGTACTTGAACTACTACGAGGAGGTTTTTTTAGCTGGTAGGAATCCGGCACTACCCAACTTTGGGTGCCTTATGAAAGACTTTTTCTCTCCTCATCGAAAAAAAAGAAAAAAATAGCTCACCGAAGTTAAGCGACGTTAGGCGATGCGAGTGGATAGACGGGTGACCGTCTCGAAACTTTGCCATGCTGTTGTTCAATGGCAAGCGTGTGAAATCTATTGACATACACACTGCTCATTAAAATATCTTTTTTTCCAGCTGAATACATTATACCATGTTACAAAGCAGACCCCAACATAAACAACTGTCTCCAAAACACATTTAACCATCTGCGACCGTACTTGGTAAAGGGTCTGGAGGATATCAACGTACCAAGTATAGACCCTTTCAAACTGGACAGAATGGTCATCGAAAATGGACAAGGTCCACTGAAAGTTAAAGCTTCTTTCTATAACGTTACCGCTGTAGGGGCTCAAAATTACACAGTACAGAGGATAAAGTAAGTGTTAACCCTTGGTTTTACTAGATAGTTTATTATATGAGTATTGAAATTAAGCCTAATATATCTTTCCATGTCTTTTATTAAATACATTATAAAGTGGGGTTGAAGCCTTTGGTGTTACGATAGTAAAATTAAACATTAATTCACAATAATACAACAAAACACTTTACTTTTAACTGTATTAGAATCATCAGTACTAGTTTTAATCAACTGCTGATTACGAGGTCGAAACACAAGCATATGTAGACGACCTGGTGATCCAAGTAAAAGGACACAAAAAGGCGGACATCACCTCAAAGACACAGGAAGTCCTAGATGCAATCCACGGTTGGTGCAAACTGGAAGAACTTAGTGTAAACACACAGAAAAACGCATTTACCAGAAGAAGAAAAATAAATAAATGCAGGCCCACTGTAAGCTGAGATCACATCGGCAGAGGATGGAACTCGTGGAAGATGGTGAATGTCGACTCTGTGTAAAAAGTGACGAAACAATGAAGCACGTTATGTCTACCTGTCCAGCTGAGAGCAGGGCCAGGTTTGAATTTTTATTTGGCAAAACTGTACTAGACATCAATTGACACCTTTTTGACATAACATTCTCGGAGATAACAATCTATATTAAAAGGTTGGGTCTTGAGTGTGAATTATTAAGTTTATAGAGCTGAGCCACAATAGGTCATTGCAGCCGCAGTGGAGAGTCCCACAAAGGACTAATTTTTTGCAAATCCAATACAGATAATGTTCTGTAGATATATGTTTTATTTATTAACAGGAACCCTATATATAAACTAAGATATCAACAGTTATCTCAGCATTGTTTAGAAGATTAGTTCTAAAAATTAAAAGACATGGTTTTCTACAACCATGACCTGAGCACAAAAACGAAACTTACAGTGTACCGAGCAATAATAATCCCCACAATGTTATATAGAAGCGAAACCTGGATGCCGTACCGCCGACTCATGAACGCATTAAACAAGTTGCAACAGAGACACCTTAGACAACTCTTAAGAATCAAATGGTTCCACCATGTCTCAAACGTATCAGTCCTTGAAAAAGCTAGCTGCGGGAGCGGTGTCATGATTACAAAATCCCGCTTAAGATGGGATGGTCACGTATGTAGAATGAAAGAAAACCTCCTACCAAAATCTGTGCTTTACGGTGAGCTTGAAGAGGACACCGGGTGGACAACTCAAAAGGGAAGAGGCAACGCACAATAGACCGCAATGGAGAAGAATTGTGAACTCAGTTAACAGCGACAACCAAAAAGTAAAGAGGCAATAAAGCAATGAGATTTTTGAATGTCCGGAGTGCGGTAGAGAGATAACATCACGTATCGGGCTTTTCAGTCACATAAAAGGTCATAAAAGAAAACGCCTTGCGTAACCATCTTCTGATGCGTGTCAAATACTCGTCAGCGAGTAATGGCAGTAGTATAGAAGATTAGTGAATGGTAAAGTTAAAAAAAACGTCGTATCATAGTTATAGTTTTTCCTTCGTAAATATCATATTCTATTATTGACAGCTGAACTTTTATAGTTGTTTATATAAAATAGTAAACAATTTTACATAAATACTACTTCTCATACCAAACATATTAATATAATAAATAATTAATGAATAATTAATTATTTCGTCACCTTTTTGTTTTTATTTATCATTATAATTAATTGCTCCGTTATTTACAATATTTTTTATATACAAATCCTATTTTGTATTTGCAATATCATCGTAAATAAGCTTTCTTTTTTGATAGGAGTGTAAACAAACATGAAACCCAAGAAATTCTTCAGGTTTGCACTTACGAAAGGCATATATTTCCTACTAACCTTGACAACATTACGTATGAGACACATTTTTTCGAAATGTTATGTTATTCTTTTAGCTACAATTATTAATTCTTTTAGTAGTAATATTTGTACGATTCTAAAGTTATGCGTTTCTAAAGATATTGGTTAAAAAACAGATTATTTGGTAATAAAATATATATGTAAGCATCTTTGGGAAGTAAGTATTAACATAACTATGTTAATATTTATAGTCCGTCTGGTAAAAAATAGAAATTGCTAAATTTTGATTTCAAAAAAGTGTTACTAAAATATTACACATTTTTGTCTTGTAAGAATATTAACAATCAACCTTATAGTTTATAAAACAATATTTTATGATAATACTCGGATAAAAATTAGTTTTTATTGGTGGACTATTAAAATACGATTCATAAAAATGCAGGGTTGTTCACCACATACATAAATTTTTACAAATTGTAAGTTTTGGGTTCGTCGAAAGACTATTGGAGCTACAATCTGAAAATATTTTTACAAGATAAAGCCGTCTATTTTTAAATACTATGGAATACTACAGATATATACCGTATGATAAAAACGGCGTCCAGTTGGCTTGGAAATGAACAGCGATGACATTCCCCATATAATTTTACATATAAAATGACAGCGATCTTTATTTTATAGCCATCGCTGACGCCGTTTTTATTTTCGATAATATCGATATTTAATTCGATATTTTTTGTTAATTGGATTTGAATTTAATACAATACAATAATCTTAAATGCCAATAAAGAATATACAAGGTTGTTCATCACATACAACACGGAGTATTTTAGCTAAACTATTACATTTTTACAAATTGTAAGTTTTGGGTACGTTAAAGGACTGTTGGAGCTACAATCTGAAAATATTTTTGCAAGATACGAGTTGTCCTAAATAAGTAAAAAATATTATAGTTGTATTTTTTTTAAATGGAACATCCTGTACATTATTTTATTTTTAGATTCTACGATTGAAATAAAGGTAAATTTGATTAAGGTTTATTGCACTCAAACCTTACTTGTTTTTGAAATATTTTCAATTTTGTGAAATTGCAGTAAAAAATTTAAGGCTTTTTTTTTCTCCAAGGGTATTAAAGGTTTTAATACTAAATATTTACTAAAGATTATTATTTATCGATTAGATATTATGTTGCAATAATAAAAATTATACTACCTTATACAGAGTGTTCAAAATTTTTTATTAAATAATTATTAGTTTTCAACGGCAATAACTTGTTTAATTTAAATGGAACACCCTGTATATTTTACGTGAATCAGATACACAATTTAATTGTCTATCAAATTGTATGATACCACTTTTTACCTGTTTCTTCAAGTTTTCGTAGAAAATGCATTTTTTATTATTTAGACCTCATTTATCACTATACCCATGGAATATTGACATTTTAGATTTTTTCGAGGATTTTTTAAAGTAACATATGTACAAAATATACAGGTGGTAAAAATAATAATATTGCAAGCCCATTTGTTTACAAAAAGAAAACTATTTAAATCTTTGTAAAAGAGTATACCAATTATTATTAATTATTAATATACTCCGCCTATTATTTCCGCCTAACAATTAGTTAATTACATACTTAATTGTTTTAATTTGACTCAAAAATTGAAACAATAATAAGTTATGAAAACGAACGTCTCTGTTGTTATAAATAAGCATTCGTCAAAAAATGAAATAAAATTTATAAGGTGTTACCTTTTACCACACTGTCTAATACACATACAAAATTCAGTTTTTTAGTATTTGGAGCAATTAATATTAATCAACGCAAACAGTCAATTAATGTAGTTTAAATACTGGCATCATATTAATTGGTGTTATTTAACAAATATTTAAACAGTTTTTCTTATTTTTTTAATGAGATAAGCGTATTATATACTATATAGTATTTGACTATATTAGGTACTCTTTGGAAATTTTTTACATTTTTAAAAATAATGTAAAATGTCAATATTCCATGGGTATAGTGATAAATGGGGTCTAAACTATAAGAAAATGCTACTTCTACGAAAACTTAAAGAGATAGGTAAAAAATGGTATAATAGGTACAATTTGATAGATAATTAAATTGTGCCTCTGATTCTCGTAAAATATACAGGGTGTTCCATGTTCCATTTAAATTAAGCAAGTTACTGCCGTTTAAAGCTAGTAATTATTTAATATACATTGTTAGACACCCTGTATAAGGTAGAATTTTGTTTATAATTGCAACACAATATCTGATCAATAAATAAACTTCAGTAATTATTTAGTATTAAAAACTTCGATACTCTTGGAGAAATGAGTCTTAAAATTTTTAACTGCAATTTCATAAAATTGAAAATATTTCAAAAATGGTAAGGTTTAAGTGTAATAAACCTTAATCAGATTTACCTTTATTTTAATCGTAGAATCTCAAAATATAATAATATACAGGGTGTTCCATTTAAAAAAATACAACTTATAACGTAATAAATACAACTCCAAATAAGTAAAAAATATTTTTACTTATTTGGAACACTCTGTATCTTGTAAGAATATTTTCAGATTTTCATTCAGAAGAAAACTTACAATTTGTAAAAATATAATCGTTTAGCTAAAATACTCCGTCTTGTATGTGGTGAACAACCCTGTATATTCTTTATTAGCATTTAAGATTATTGTATTGTATTAATTTCAAATCCAATTAACAAAAAATACGATATTATCGAAAATATAAACGGCGTCAGCAATGGCTATAAAATGATCGATGTTCATTTCCAAGCCAACTGGACGCCCGTTTTTATCATACGGTATATATCTATAGTATTCCATAGTATTTAAAAATAAATGGCTTTAGTCTGAAAACATCTTTAAATCACCCTGTATAACAAAAATTAATGATTCTATAAATACAATTGGAACTCTCAAACCAGAAACCTGATATAGAGCATATTCGAAATGTTGGATCACACTGTATTTAAATCAACTTTTTTAAAAACACAAATTATTTATTTTTATTTTTTTATAATTGTTGTTATATTTTATTGAAAAACCTTTAATATTATCAAGAGAGTCAAAGTTTTATATATTTTTCCTAAATAAGAATTTTTAAAGTGTTGTATTTCAAAAAAATATCAGAAAATTAATTTTTGATTTCAAAAAGTTGTGTATTTGCGTTGTTGCGGTGTACACGTAAGAATAAAAAAAATATCGCAAATTTTAAAATTGTTCTTAAAAATACAGGAATGTTTCTTGTAGGCCACAAGTTAACTCATTAAAATTTGGTGTTGACTCCATGCATATTATAGTGTGCCTTTTTATATGAGACATCGTGTAAATTTAAAAAATAATTAGATACTTATTGAAATAGATATTTTATATACTTTTACGTCATTTTTCTTTGACAGTGCCGACGTAGACAAGTACGTCATCGAAATCGGATTCAAATTCCCCAGAATGGACATCCGAGGCAAGTACGACGTCAACGGTAACGTACTGCTGTTCCCCGTCAGATCCAAGGGAGATTTTTGGGCAATATTCCGTAATTATACCAGCCCAGAACGAACGTAAGTAAAACACCGTTAATTTTGTCTATAAATTTGTTTCAGTTGATATCGAAGCAGCCACAAAGATTTTCGGAAAGGAGTTCACGAAAAACGACGTCAGGTATATGATGGTCGACAAGATGCTTGTGGATTTCAGATTGAAGAAAAGTCGATTTAGGATTAGAGATATAGTGAATCATGGAAATGTTATAGGTATTTCTTTTTTTAATTTATTATTTAGACCCAATTTAGATAAGATTCATTCTATGTAGAGTGATTAAAAAATCCAAGAAATTACAAAAAAAATTAATCTACCATTTATAACTCAAGAACAGCTCTACCGATTTTAATGATCTCTGATTTGTTGGGGTTGTCGTCTCCGTACCGAATAGCAGAATAACTATACAGGGTGCTACAAATTCGAGTTACAAGCATTGGTATCTCGGAAACCATAAAGTCGCTCCTTAGGATGTTCACCAAGATGCCATCAAAAAAGTTTTAAAAATTTCAGGGATTTCTGAGTTTTTTGCAAAAAATGTATTTTTTGAAAATCAATTTTATTTTTTCCTGTCGTTGTATTTTAGAAAATCAAAAAACTAATTGCACATTCTCATAGCCACTTTATTAGGGCTATATGATAGTATTTTTAGACTTTGAAATTAGCTGATAGTTTGTGAGATACATAGGCCAACTTAATTTTTTTAAATACGGACCTGCATTTTTTATTTGAAGTTTTGGAAGAACTTGGTCTCCTGAGTACAATGATATGCCACACTTAATACTTTTTTTGTTTTGAGTACCTTAACAATAACAAAACTATTTAATTATTATTTAAAATAATTTCAAGTCCGACTCTGATTTTTTAAATAATTTGATCTGATTGTTTTCATCGCAACAATATTGATCAGCGCTAATTAACATTGAATAAGGAATATCGAGCCAGTTGAAAGATTCAAATAAATAATATCCTGGTCAGCAATTTAAAGAAATTATTTTTAGCTTTTTTTATTGTGAATTTGAAATCTCAGTGTACGATCTAATAATATGCATAATATTAATAGCAGTTATTATAAATAAATCAAGTTCTACTAACTGGTTTCTAATGCTCTACATGTTCGAAAGGGTTACAACCCTCCCTAATGCACAAATTTATTTTTCATTCAATATTATTTATGGCGCTCAAGCTTTCTTTATGGAGAGTTCACGAAAAAAATATACCTATTAGGCTATTACAAGGCTATTCCCTGGGCTATTACTTAATTATTGCCGATCACTACCAATGCTTCCAATCGATTTCTTGCGCCTTCACCATTTATTCGAAAAACCGCTCATCAAGAAATATCGTATGGTCGAAAAAAGACCGGCGTCAAGTGGGTTTGAAAATGACGATCATTCCTCATAAAATGATAGCAATCTTCAATTCCAATCCAACTTTGATGCCGTTATTTTCAATCTTATGATATATGAATTAAAGTACAGAAGGCTAACATCACAGACTAACTTTTATAGTCTGTGGTAACACGTTTTGCATGCAGAAACCATGGATTAATTAGGTATTAATGATTCTTTGTTTATAGGCGAGGCTATGAACAATTTTTTGAACCAAAACTCGGAAGAAATCATAGCCGAGATGAAACCAGCAGCAAAAGCTTCAATTGCAAGGCATTTCAAAGGATTTTTGAATGATGCTTTTACGCAGTTACCTTTAAAAGTATGGTTACCCGATGCTTAAAACCCCTGGTATTAGATAAGAAAAATAATTTATTTTTTAATTAAAAGTACCTATACAATCTTAAATAAGAAAAATGGCAGTATTTATGATTAGTAGCTAGTTATACATTATCTTAACTCAAAACGAATTTTAAGGCACTAGTTTGGATTAATTAGTTTATTTCTGACATCAAGGACAAAGAAAAGTATAATGTTATAACTGTCAGTTTGTTCTGAAACATTGTGATACATTATTTTTATAATTAAGTTTACTTAGCAAATTAATTTAGACTTATATTAAATTATAATAATTTACTTGTAAATATATTTTTTTAATAAAATTTTACTTGTTTTATTTATTTTAAATTAATTTTTTAGCTCGGTCTTTTATTAAAAATCCTAATGTACAGATTAAATATTTAGTTAGTGCTATCTCTATTTTGGGTAATAATGAAGTTACCAACCACATAACAAATATTATTTTAGTAATTTAGATATTATGGTGTCATTTAAATATTTCAAAAATTGTGTTTTTCTATAATAATTTTGAATATACCATTGGATAATTCATTAAAATGACTTGTATAATTAATTGGAAGAAATGTTGATTTTTAGTTGAAATTCCTTCGTATTTTTGTCAAGAAATATTGTAAAAGAGAAAAAAATACAGCAGTACCAAGAAGTTAATGTAAAAAATGTCGAAGTATGAAAAAATTGAAGAAATGTTAAATATGTCAAAAACCTTACATTTTAGTCGTTAATATGCATACTAATATAATAAAACTCACCTTTATTTTCTCCTTCCTTCCTAGAATCTGAAAATAAATAAATATTTCAGAAACACAACTTTGATGTGGCACTTTTTTGAGGGACATCCCCTAGAATTCCATATAATTCTTTAAATCAACCTACAGATGGTCACAAAATTTCATTCCGCTACAAATTGTCGTTCTCCTTGGAGCCTCCGCGTCGTATCAGTGTTGTATAAAAATGCAACTTTAACGTAAAATATAGGTACTTGAATTAATAATTATATTAATAAAAGATAATTTTAAAATGCTGCTATTCCCGAATTTTTAATTAAAAAAATGGGAATGGATATCTTAAATAGGAAATCGGATAAGAGACTTTTTCGGAACGTTGGACCACCCTGTATATTAGACAGAATTGAAAACTTATTAAATTTTGCTCATCCAGATATCGTTTTTTCAATGTAACGGTAGTATTGTACAAATGTATTTCAGATAATGTATGATATAATATGATGTTAAAAAAATGGCAAATTATGGACAACTTTTGAATTAAAGAGCATAAACATTATTTAAAGAAAATGCAAATAACAGTTACCAAAAAAAACTGTACACGCTATAATAACTACATATTCTAAGTATTCATTAATTTTTGTTGTTTTTACCAAAATATTTAGAGCATATCTTAGGAGACTTTAAACGTCTAATAAATTTAAACAAATACTTTAAATTTATCTATAGTACTATAACACTATAATCAATTCTAGTATCATATGAATTAATTTCTATTTCACACTATAAAGAAAAAAATGTGCTCCTTAATTTAAGACTTGATTGAATGTGCCAGCAGTCAATTTATCATCCGTCATTAAGATAAGAATTGAACTTGTATGAAAATATCTTGGAAGCCTTTGGCCTCACTAATCCCAAGTTGTTTCTCTACCATCCTCAACAACACAAGATATATTTATATTAATATTAAAACATATCAGCATTTTCTAAAACATTAAAACAAACATAGTATTTAACACTTTATTATAAGAAGTTTTAGTTTAGTGCGTTTGGTATGACGAAGTTTTGAGAAGAAATAAGGGTTTGATATAGTGAGAATGTTTAATTTTACCAGAAAACAGTGGACGACGCTGGTAGTTATTGGAGCAGCGGACTTTTTTAACGCCCTGTGTGTAGGGTTGCAAGCTCCATTTTATCCATCAGAGGTAAGAAGTAGATATATATTATTATTGGGGTAGCCCAAAAAAAGTTTTATATAAATGTTGCATGGTTTATAAAGGTGCATATCTTAAAAATATTTTGTTGCATACAGGGTGTTTAAAAAAATAAATAATAGAGTTCAAAAAAGTAATAATAGAGTAATATTAAAGTAATGCCATTTCTCAATTTCTTTAAATGCAACTGCAATGTCTAATATTTTTTTACATACAGAATAGAAATTTTGTGTTTAAAGTGTTCCTAAATTTTTAACGCTTTCGCAGATATTCCCGGTATTGCATTATGGCTCTTTCTTTCTCAATGGTAAAATATAAGGCAAAAATTCATGAATAATAAATAATGATACTTGGAATATGTTAAAAACCGTTAAAAAATTTGAAACATTTTAAATACATTTTTTGTAATTCTGCATCTTAATGTAAAGTAATATACAAAGCATTTCATTAAAAAAAAACAAGCAAAATTTATCTTATATTTTAACAATTTTGACATTAATCTTTGTACATCTTAAACATTTTACGGTTAAGATATTTCGGATCGAAAACAATCTTTTTGTGCATGAAAAAGTTCATTTTTATGTATAAAAGACGTGTATCAAATTTTATAAAAATATCAAAACATCAGAGTTATTATGAAAATTTTTTTTAGAAAATTTTACCACCCTGTATCTCAAAAGCTAAGATATTTAGGACATACATTCATAGTAGGACATTCATATGAAGTTTTTTTTATAATGGGTCCATTAATCACCCCCTTAAATAATAGCATGTCATTAAGGAACACCCTGTTCAACCAAACCAAAAGCTTTTTAACTCTTTCTATAATTAGTGTTAATTTTTGACAAGCTTTATGTCAATTTATCATCGATCAAAATTATCGACGATTTGCCATTCCCCAGCTGTCATTGACGCCGTTTTTTTCCACCATGCGGTATAATATTCAATACAAAAAGATGATGCAATCGACAATAGTTGCTCATAATTGCAAATCAAATTGAGAAAAATATATAAAAACCTTGATAAAGTACTAACTAGAGATCGTCCACCTTACAGTACTAGGGTCAGAAATTTCCAACTAAGCGAAACAAGAATTAAAAAAAGATATTTTTGTTGAGCCACAAATCCAAAATATCCCTTGAAAAAAATCTTGGAATGGTTTTTTGCCTGGTGGTCACTAATTTCTTATGAAATAAAAAAGCTGATGCATATGTTAGGTAAGGTTAGGTTAGGTTACTGGATTTAAGGATCCTTTTTGATCCTTCACTCGGAGGCTTTGTGTCCATTGCGATACCCCTGTTATTATTGTACCAAACCTTCCTCTCATTCTTACTTTGCGTTAAAGCACTTCCAGCTCTCTGCAGAGCTCTAAAGTTTTAAAGCTTTGGTTTTCCAGTGCCGGACAGTGGTACATCAGGTACTCTATGGTTTCTTCTTCCTCTTCGCATTCTCTGCAGTAGTCGTCGTTGGAAAACTTCAATCTCACGAGGTTTACCCCGTGGGGCAGTCTCCAGTTACGACACCTACAATTAAGCTTGATTTTCATGCATCCGTTGTCCGACGATACGATGATACGATATTAATTTTATTAGTTGAATTTAAAAGCTTCGATTGGTTAACCGTTTCTAACCAATCGAAGTCTTTAAATTTAACCAATAAAATTAATATCGTATCATCGTATCGTCGGATAACGGATGCATGAAAATCAAGCTTTATACGTACTGGGCTCTTTTTGTGTTCTAAGAGTCATTTTTTCCACTGACCTCAGTCTTCGAGCTCTTTGGCCTTGATGGTAGTTTCTATAGCTTCCTTCAGTGTATTGATCATCACAAGTGGTGGGTTATCTGCCACGGCCTCTCCACTGACCCCTTTTTGGCAAGCCTGTCCTCTTCTTTGTTGCCCACCACATTGCTGTGGCCTGACACCCAGCACAAGGTCTTGACGCAGCCAGGACAGTGTTTCTCGGCAGTCCATCACAGATTTCGATCTCCCTGTTTGCATGGTGATGCTTCTTAAAGCGAAACAGCTGTCAGAGTATATCACGATATCTCTCATTTGTCTATTAGCGATTTTTCCTCGTATACAACTAGCCGCTTCCTTTATAGCGTAAACCTCTGCTTGTAGAACATTGCAGTTATCCGATAGCCTTCGGAAGTCTAGTTCCTCTGAGAAGACGCCTACGGCCTGTGCTTCCTGAAGTATCGGAATAGAAAGCAGTCGTCACGGAAGCATCTGTGTAAACTGCTATCTGTTGAGTGTTCATTACTAGGTTGCTTTCCCACTCTTCTCTTGTCGGGATGCGAATACTCTTCTTTTCTCCAAAGTCATGTCTGAGCATATAGTCCGTTTTCTGGTCTAGCAGATGTGGACTCGTGTTCGCCATGATTTTCTCTATAGCTGGCAATATCCTCGAGTGACCGTAGTTGGTCTGGTTCTGCAGCAGGGATTTCCTTAATATTAGGGCACCCTCAGCTAGGGTTGCCAACTTTCAAAATAAAAAATAGAGGATGAGAAGGTAAAAAGAGACACAGGCGAAACATTTTTTTGAAACTTCGCCCAAAGAAACTTGTTAAAATAAAACAAACCATTTTCAACAATTTTTTTCTCAAAACAAAAGTTAACAGTAAGTAAACGTAAAATAGTTAAACATAAACTTCCACAAATATTTCTTGTACATAAATATTTCTTTATTTTCGTTTCTGTTCAAATGAGTGGGAGTAGCGAAAGAGATACATTAACAATTTTTAAAACACTGTGGCGGTAGACAAATATTTTTTAAATTTTGAGTTTGGTATGTAAAAAAGAGGACTTTTTCAATACGTGAGAGAAAAGAGGATAGTGAGATCAAAATTCTTCACGAACCAGTCGATTGCTGGGCCAGAATTACTTCTAGCGCAGCTTACGCCGCTGTGTCGTTCCTTGCTCCAGTTTATACTTACCACTTACTTATCCACTCAGGAACGCCAGAGCAAGATCTTTATCTACCTACCCCACACTCAGAGTTCGTTAAGAGCTCGAACACACTGACGGCCAGGTCGCAACGACCAGCCAACGGCCAGGGACGCTAGTGTGCGTTGTATCATTTGATTTAATGGTAATACGTATCTCAGTGACCAAGCTGCGGCCGCTTGGGCGTGGACGTTAGTACGCGTTGTATCATTTGATTGGTGGTCGTTGGCTGGCCGCTGCGACCTGGCCGTCAGTGTGTTCGAGCCCTAAAAGTTCAATATTATACAACTCGAAAAAAATGCGCAATCGCCTGCACATTTATAAATGTTTATTTTAAACAATAAGACTGACAATGTAATTTGTATACTTGTTTTGTATTCTCTTCTGTTTGTTTACTTTACCTTTCTCTACAAATTGTAAACATTTTTGACAATAAAGGCATATATTTATTTTACTACTGGCTCCAGAAGCTGTTCACAAAAGGATTTCAAAAAGAACCCGCATTTAAGTATCTAATTTTTCTAATTCATTAAAAATAAAATTATAAAAACTTTGTTCATGAAAACTACCACTAAGTTTTTTATTTATAGTTATTTTTGTATTTAGCACCCTAAAATTTACTAAGAAATGTTTTTTTGCAACATGATAGCACCAATAAACTAAAATTTGTTGGCCAATAATATTAGAAAAAAATGTTTTCATTATTTTTTTCGATTAATTGGGTTATTTATATCTGTACTCGGAATAGTACTTTTTATATTATTTGAAGATGTGAAAAACAACACTATGTTCGGTTATTTATATAAAATCGCTGATTATATTCTGGAAAAATCCATATTATCATCCATAATTAAATTACCGTTATCGCAAGAAACTTATAATCAAAGTTGTTTGACAAAAATAACCATATCGACTTTGTCTTTAGCCGGATTCTCAAGAAATCGTGTTGAAAAAGTGTATAGGTTAGAAACTATAAAAGCCGGTCAAAGAAAACATTATATTTATAGAAACAAGCCAGTGTGGTCTGTGATATTAACAATTTTATTCAAAAGCAAGTCGAGTTGAAGATAGTGATATTATGGTTCAATTTACTAAGAGACAGAGACTTACGTTATTTGTGATAGGATTTGCCGACTTTTTCAATGCGCTCTGTGTGTCATTGCAAGCTCCTTTTTATCCTTCCGAGGTAAGAGATAAATTAACATTGGTTACTATTCATAATTAATTGAAATATTTTAATATAATATTTGTTGTGAACTAAGAACAACATTTCAAAGCTATTGAGTAAGTAAAAAGAACTTTATACAAAGTTAGTTTTAATTTTGAAGACAAACTAATAGTTATTTTTTATACGAGACGATAAAATGGTATTCTATCGTCGACCGAAAAGATTTCGGAAGACGATTATGCCATTTTATCGTCGTGTATAAAACAATATTTTTTTTCCATCGCGAGTTACATTTAAAAAAATATTCAGAAATTATTATTTCAAGGAATTTATTACGAGTAGAAAAGATATTGTGCTGGATTGGCGTTGGTTTCTATGTAATTTGACAAATAAATAAAGCTGTCTCTTTAGTTGTCAGTTTTGAGTCAATATTTTTTAATTCTCTTTCGTGTCGATTGCTGATTGAATTGGAGTCAGAAATGGCTCAAAACGAAATAAGTAAATTACCAACAGATATTCAGGCCGAGGCGACAAACGCTATATCCAAACTACTTCCATTTAAATCCCGAATAACTTATGAAAAGGAATACAAAAATTTTCAAAAATGGAAGCAATTAAAAAACGTGCGAGAAGAAATAAAGTTTTTAACCTATCCTCGCTGTTAAACTGTCATTTAATCTACCCTTGCGGTTAAAGTACTATTTTATCTACTATTTTTGATAGATATAAGGCAATTTGACAGTTGCTATGGAAAAAAAATTATTAAACTGACATAAAGTACCATCGATAACTCGATATATAATTACGTACAAGATCTTAAAATTAAAAAAAAAAACTTGTGGCGTTTGAAACAAAAATAGCATATTTGTTCTATTTGGAGTAAAATAGTTATTTGTGTAACTAGTGCAGCAAAAAGGATATACCTATTTGTGGCACGACACCTTTTTGACTGCGTATCTAGATGCAATCGTGCTGAACGCATCAAATATGCTTTTTGCCTTTTGCACATGTTGCACACAACATTTTTTCTACGGTGGAATTGAAATTCTTATTTAAATGTTTATTAAAATGTTTTTACAGTAATTCACAAAATACTATTACCACTAACAATGACACTATAAAAAAATATTATTTTTTAATAACTTTAAAAATTGCATGCTATATATAAAAAAAAATTTAATTATTTTTCAATGGGGCATGCTAAAAATGACTGAAGAATGGTTGTGCATGACGAATTATTAACTTCAATATGTGTACTAAGTTTTATAAGAGTCAACTTAATAGAAATAGTGGCAGAAAGATGATTTGCAAATTTCGAAATACACAAGTTTACTAAAAACTTGTATAAATATGTTGTTGTGTTGTCCACTAAGGCAGATTAGGTAATGTCGCTGCAAAAATACCAAAGTCGATATCGTACAAGTGACCATGTGCATCTGCAACTGCGCAACTCAAAGTTATCTACGTCGTTTTCGAAATTTAATCGAAAAATTCCAGTTTTATGAGTCCGTCGATTAGATTTTATAGGCCTCTTCTCTCTGATCGTGACGAAATATTTTGGCTGCGATTGGGACAATATGCAAAATCAGTGTCGTATGGAGTCGGTTTCAAAGAGAGCATATTATTATTACATGTGTGAGCGTGGGTGCATATAGTGATCATAGAAAATGGCCGGTTTTACTAGAAGTCAAGTTTTTACCTTGATAGTTATCGGTATTGCTGATTTTTTTAACGCTCTGTGTTTTGCGCTGCAATCGCCTTTTTATCCGGCTGAGGTAAGAATTTCATCAGAATAAATTATATGAATTACATGATGCAATAAATTAAAACAGTTATATTTTATCAACAAATATATAGGTAGTTTCTTCTATCACATAAGTGAAAAAAATTTGATCTTGGTCTTGAGGAAATCTTGTACAAAAAAAGCAGGATCAAGGCCAGAGTCTCGCTTATCACAAACACTAGAAATGTACTATGTTCGATATACAGGGTGTTCCATAATGATATGCCAATATTGGAGGAATACTTACGTACTAAACGTTTTAATTTTTGAGATATAGGGTGGTAAATATTTCAGAAAAAAAAATTACAATATGTTATACTATACCGGGTGCGTCTCAAAAGTGGCTCACAACTATAACTTTTTTATTTTTTCAGATAAAAAACGAGGTTTGGTACATATATGACGTAAATTGGGATTAATTGACGTATTCAATTGTTTTTAGTCACTTCCTGTTTCACCAGAAATGACTACAACTTTTGATTTTTAAATGGCACACTCTGTATTTTTTTACTTTATTTGATAGAAAATGACACTCTGAATAGAATGACATATCATATGTCAACTTTTGACATTTTCCTTTAAAAAAATATTATTTTAAATTTCAATCTAGAGTGCCATGGTTGTGTTAAAAACACTAAGTGTTATTCAAGGAGTCTTGGAAAAATAGATTTGATCGTTCAATGTTTTTGTGTCTTGTCCTGGTCGGTTGAAAGATGCACAAATGGTATTTTTAATCATGTCTCAATTTTTTTCAAATGGAACGAGGGTGGCTCATTAAGTACATACATATTTGGATGCTTTTTTCCAGCATTTTTTACGAATAATTTGGTACCACACACTTGCTATTTCGAGTCAAATTATCGTTATGAACCGCATGTTACAAATGTCAAAAGTTGACATATGATATGTCATTCTATTCAGGGTGCCATTTTCTATTGAATAAATTAAAAAAGTTGTTGTCATATACGGTGAAACAGGAAGTGACTAAAAACAATTGAATACGTCAATCAATCCCAATTTGTGTCATATACTAACATACCAAATCTCGTTTTTATCTAAAAATAAAAAAAATATAGGGGTGAATACTTTTGAGACGCACCCTGGTATATAATGTTGTTATACTATTCTATAATATATCTTTGTGAAATTTGGTCTTTCCTTGTAAGGAGCATTTTCTTATGTACTCGGTAGGCTAACTGAGAATGGACGCCGCTTTTTTAAAAGCGTATTACCCCCCAAATGAAATGATATATGTCAAACTCGCACAAAAAATGTTGGTTGTTTTTTAGACACACATATTCTTGGTTATACAGTTTTTGGTGAGTGTGATATATCATTTCATATGGGAGGTAATGAGCTTTTAAAAAATGAAATATAAAATCCATGTTTTGTATTGTCTATTTATCCAAAATCAAAAAATATGTTATTAACCAATTTTCCACCTGCAGGAAATAATTTTATGAGGCTTCCCGATAGGTGTTATAAGACGTATGCTTACGTGTCTTAAACTTCATTCAGATCCTCGCAATTAGTGAAATAAATTAGTGTTTTTAATTACACTTTATATTTTTAGTTTGATCATTCACAATGTCTAGAAAACACAGCTTATGGTAATCAGTTGTATCCATAAAGAAAACCTAATATTTAGCTTATAAATCAATAAACTTTGATTTTTTAACCACATTTCTCTTGAAGGACGATAATCTAAGGCCAAAATGACATTCCTCGCAAATTTTGAAGTATAATTAGTGGAAAAGTTAAAAGTTTGGTAACTTTTTCCAGTAATTGAAAATTCCTACCACTAATTTTAACGTTCTGAATACTTACATTCAAATTAGAAGAACAAACTTCTACGCTAATTGAAACTACTAATTTATTCCACTAATTGCGAGGTTCTGAATGAAGTTTTATATCCTATAAATAATGCAGAAATAAGCACGAAGTAAAAAATCACTTATCAAATTAAAAAAAACCTAACCAAACCAAACTAAAATTTACCAAAAATAATAGCAAATTATTTTTAATGAGTAAAAATTGACACAATTAAATAATCCTTGTTGTTCTAAAGTTGAGATATCATTAATTTTCTATTTTTTGATCTTTTAATCGACATTTTCTAGAATTTAGTTTGCTTAAAACTAATAAACGGAAATGAATCCTTATCAAGAAATGAACAGACAGCAGATATAGCGGACGCCTATACTTTTGAACTGTTTGACATCGCTCACTTTTATGATGCTCATTCGAATAAAAATACGTACGTAATGATCGAACAAACAAGAGTCATTAATTTAAATGATAGTAAACAAATAACGCATTACATTGACTAAATATGATCGTATTTACTATAATCAGAAATACTACAGTATAGTTAGACAAAGCAAAAACGAATTATAATACATATAGAATATGTTACCTGTGGTGACATTACACTCCCCATTCTGTGACGCTAAGGTGTAACATAGACAAAAATATTCTTTTAACCAGTGTTGCTTTTGGACTAAGTTAACCAAATTTACATTTTTTCAATTAGATATAACTTCCTTGTATCTATGAGCCCAAGCACCAAATCTGAATTATCCTTGATAGAGAAGAACATTCCTGAAGATTCCTACAACAAGAAATAAATATATTATATACTATAAATATTGTCTTTTATATTTTGCCATATAGAGATTTTGGACATATAGGATTTGCAAAAATAGTAGATAACTTTTAAACACTATTGTTTTTTGAAGCATTCTTCACAAAGAGAAATGCCTTTTTGCATCGGTTGGAAACAATTCTGAAAGCAGATATACACTCGCTTATTTGTACCTTCAAAATTACGTTTTTGAAGGCCCTGACTGCATTTTCAGGAGACTGGAACCTTTGAGAACGCAAGTGTTATTTAAAAGTGCTTTTTACTAGACCATCATATCCTATAGTATTAAGTGATGTGATGGCGTAATTCTGATAGCGGATTCGTGTTCAGCATCGAAAAATACTATAGGATATGATGGTCTGGTAAAAAGCATAGACCACTTTTTATTTTTTGGTGAACCTGTTCTTGGATCGTAGTTAAGACTAATCCGTCTACGTTTAAATTTTTCATACCAATGAGAAATTGTCGACTGATGTGGTGTGTTATTACCGTAAACAGAAACCAATTCGGTAAGGCATTTTTGCTGAGACAACTTGTAAAAATTGTAAAAAATTATTGCGCAAAACAGCTTTAAACGAATTGCTCTAAAATTTTGGCGTTAAGTTAACTAAAGATGACAGTTAATTTTGACATTTGATATATAGAAATAAGTGCAAGTATTTTGACTGGTAGTATAATTTAACGAAAATTCGAAATTTTTTAAAAACAATTTTGGATTTTTTTTTTAGTTTTTAGTTAAAAAACATAATTTCTTGATAATATGGCAACATAGGTATTAGATTAAATTTACAAAAAAGAAAATCCAGAAAAGATCCAGTAGTTCTCCAAATTTTAGCAAAAAATCATTTTTTTGGAAATTTTCAAAGTAAAATAACTCCGTTATTTTGGACTTATTTGAAAAACGATAAAGAGAAAATATGTTTCATTCCTCGAGATCTATCACCCCTTAAAATACTTGCACTTATTTCTGGGACACCCAGTATATTAACATGTGTAAAATATAAAAGACAACTCTCTTACTAAACATCCTATCAATCTTATAAAGATAAAATTAAATCGCCACTACTGGTAATTAAACATTTTATTAATCAATTTTAAATGCCCTAATTTTGAATGTGATAATATATTCGACAAAATGCGTTGTTTTAAAAATAATCCTAATTAGTCTATATCATATCTGACTCTAAAAGTCGCAGTTAAACCAAAAAATTAATGACTCTTTATAAGCACCGTACGATTAAATAAAAACGACGCCACAGTAAGCTTAGAAATGTGATTTCACTTCGAGTTTCCTATATTGGCTATATCTAATAGCTGAAGCTTTTGACAGTGATATTGACAGAGTTTCATGGTTTATTTGGGAACTTTGTCAAACATTAAAATAGTTATCACTACAGTTGTAACGTCACTGCATTCTATATGTTTATTTTAAATGAAGTTACTAATTGCAGTAATCATCTGTAATCATAACAAGAATTTATATTAGCAAAATGATAATTTTTAATCAATTAACATTTGACTTAATATATTATAAATAATAGTAGTAAGTAGTACAGTATTTGAAAATATTTTTATTATCGATAGTCTCGTAAGGCAGAAGTTCAATATTCAATAATAGCTTATTGCGAAACATGTTATTTTATTCATTTAAACCAACATTAAATTGATTTTCGTATTAGAAACAATGCTATACACAATTATCTACTTTATACCGCATTAACCAAAAAAATATATATCGGGTATACAGGGTTGTTCACCACATACGACGTGAAGTATTGTAGCTAAACGATTAGATTTTTACAAATTATAAGTTTTAGGTTCGTTGAAGGACTATTAGAGCTACAATTTAAAAATATTTTTTTTAAGATACAGAGTGTCCCAAATAAGTAAAAAATAATATAGTTGTATTTTTTTTAAATGGAACACCCTGTACATTATTTTATTTTTAGATTCTACGATTGAAATAAAGGTTAATTTGATTAAGGTTTATCATACTTAAACCGTTTTTGAAATTTTTTGAATTTTGTGAAATTGCAATAAACAATATAAAGCTTCATTTCTCCAAGGGTATCAAAGTTTTTATCCTAAATATTTACTGAAGATCATTTATTGACCAGATATTGTGTTGCAATAATAAAAATTATACTACCTTATACAGAGTGTCCAAAAAAAATATATTAAATAATTACTAGCTTTAAACGGCAATAACTTGTTTAATTTAAATGGAGCACCCTGTATAATTTACGTAAATCAGATGTACAATTTAATTGTCTATCAAATTGTATTATACCATTTTTTACCTATCTGTTCAAGTTTTCGTAGAAAATGCATTTTCTTATAATTTAGACTTTATTTATCACTGTACCCATGGAATATTGACATTTTAGATTTTTTTAAAGCAACATATGGTACAAAATGTACAGGTGGTAAAAATAATAATATTGCAAGCCCATTTGTACAAAAAGAAAACTATTTAAATCATTGTAAAATAATATACCAATTAAATATACCTCCATTATTTCCGCCCAAAAATTATATTATACATATTCTGTAGATAAAATTAGGTATAAAGTTATATTATGTCTAAATTTATGTCCTAAAATGTGTTTTCGAGATACACGATGTAGAAGTTTCATTTTTACTTGTTTTTATGACCACCCTCTATATTATTATTTGATCGCGTAACTGTAACGTAAAAATAATATAATAATTAATAATTATTAATAATCTCTGTCCTTTATCAGAGGTTTTGGATGGGCAAGTATCTCTGCGCCCTTAAGAACTAGCCACCACTGCATGATAATGGTAAATGAAAAACAAGCCCAAACTTATTCTAAAGTAGCAATTAACAGGCTTTAATAATAGACCATCCATTAAAGCTCTATTGGTTCCAACAAATATTTGCATTTCAATTGATAACACAGAAAAATATAGAGTAAAGGTTTTGTTTGGTTTATAATTATTTAGTTATTTCTGGTAGTAGTTAGAGTGATCGTTCACGTTGTAGTGGTTCTTTTTTCTCAGTTTCGAAAATGATTTTAAACTTCAAAAAAATGGCTAAAAGCCAGACATCGACCATAATAGCTATGATTATTAGTAATTTTGCTAGCGGTGTATGTTGTTCTTTACAGGCACCGTTTTATCCCGATATGGTGAGTACAAGAACCTAAATTGTTGTATAATTTCAATATAAGTATTTAAAATCATATGGAGCAAAAATGGTATATATTTGTGGATGGTACTAAATGCTAGTCATCATACCTTTCGAGCATTATTTAAAAAAACTTTAGTAAAACGCGCCAAGGTTAGAAGTATTTTGGTGTAATGGTGAACTAGTGTTTTATTTTGCCTCATCTAGATTGCTGAAAATTTGTATTTTTATGTAAATATTTTCAAATTATCATTTTTTTCCAAAATTAGTCGAGTAAACGGATGTAGCTATTTATTACTTTAAATGTCAAATTTGACAGATACTATATAGATAGCAAGAGGTTTATTTTTATATAATTTTTAATTCAACTCAAAGTAAAAAATAATGTCGATATTTGATCTGGACATTATCTGTACTTAACAATGTATATGCAATTAAAATGTTCTAGATTGAAAATACATACATAATTACTCGCTGACGAGTATTTGACACGCATCAGAAAATGGTCACAAAAGGCGTTTTCTTTCATGAGCTTTTCTCTGACTGAAAAGCCCGATACGTGATGTTATCTGCCTACCGCACTCCGGACATTCAAAAATCTCATTGCTTTGTTGCCTCTTTACTTTTTGGTTCTTGCTGTTAACTGAGTTTACAATTCTTCTCCATCGGGTTCTATTTTGAGCTGCTTCTTCCCGCTCATTCTGCATGTTAATCCCCTTTAAGTTTTCGTGGAAAATGTCTTTGTAACTTTTGAGTCGTCCACCCGACCTCCTCTTACCATCTATAAGCTCACCGTAAAGCAGAGATTTTGGTATGCGATTTTCTTGCATTCTGCATACGTGACCAGCCCATCTTAAGCGGGATTTTGTAACCATGACTTCAATACTCTCGCAGTCAGCTTTTTCAAGGACCGCTATGTTTGAGACATGAAGGAACCATCGGATTCTTAAGAGTTGTCTAAGGTGTCTCTGTTGCAACTTGTCATGCGTTCATGTGTCGGCGGTACGGCACCCAGGTTTCGCTCCCATATAGCATGGTGAGGATTATAATTGCTCGGTACACTGCATGTTTCGTTTTTGTACTCAAGTGATGATTGTAGAAAACCTTGTCTTTTAATTTCCAAAATGCTCTTGAGATGCTGCTAATCCTGTGCTGAGAGATTGAAAATAACATTTCTGGAAAATACACCCAATATTATGTTATTAAGTTTTATTCTTATTTGTATGTGTAAAACTGTTTATTTGTTGTTCTAGGCTGAGAAGAAAGGATGTACAGCGACGGAGTACGGTCTAGTATTTGGAATTTTCGAATTTGTAGTATTTATCGTTAGCCCCTTTTATGGCCAGCATCTTAATAGGATAGGACCAAAACTAACATTTAATGGTGGCATATACACAACGGGAATATGTGCTATTTTATTTGGGTAAGTAAAAAAGCTACAATAATACAAGGAGGAGATTCTTATGCCGCGTCCAGACCAAGCAGTCAAAACAACGACAAGACCATTGCCTGGAAACTTATATGGTGAAATTTTGATAAAATAATTTAGTACTCACTAAAAACACGGTATATCGCTAGTGGTAGGAAAAATAATTTTTAGAGGTTACTAGTTTATTTGGTTGCCTGTGATATGCATATACAGGGTGTTTCCTAATTAATCTAAAAAATAAAAAATCGTTAGAAAACGGCTTAAGGCGGGCCCTTAATAAGTATATTTATTTTTTTATTGGCAACCGTTTGATGAACAAGAAAAACTCAAAAGATCAATTTTGTTGAAAAAGGATGGCCTGTCAAGAAAAAAATATATTTTCTTTAAAAAAGCAGTAGTGTACCATTTATGTTAAGCAAAATATCGATTTTTTTTTAATTTTTAACACCCTGTAGATCAGAAAGGAAGTACTTCAGACCAAATGGTTATATAAAAATTGTTTTAAGAACACATGAGGAATCACACCACAATTTTTTAGACTAATTATAACACACCCTGTATATTGTCAACTAGACAATGATTGTTGATAAATCAAAAAATACCTTTTCTGTGAAAAAAGCCCGATTTTCGCAGGAAAAATTTTGGTTTTTATTGAATTTGGGTCTGCGTCTGCAAATACCGGTATGTTTTTTAATATTCTATCTATCTAAATTTTAAATATCATAGTCAGAAATAGTTTTATTATTTATTAACTGTAAAAATGGTATACTTATAAGTTTTATCAAATATTGTGATTTACTTTCTACCTTGTAGTCAAAATTGATATTTAATAAACTGTAAAATATATATATATTCTTATGTTTTATTAAAGTTACTCTGATATACTAATATATTAGTGTAACCAGAGAGTAACTTTAAAACTAAATCCTTTGAAATCAAATATAAACATAAAAAATATTTACAGCAGAAAAGGCGAAGGCGCTGGGTTAAACGTAGTCTCTACTAAGAACACGGAGGGGCGCTTTGACCCAAAATTTTACTATTAAGTTTCATATCTATCTTAATAGAAGATTATTTTCTTTATCTATGGACAAGACAGAAACATTCATCTATACGACAAAGTTGTGACAAATCCAATAAATTTATGCGACATTTTTGTCTCATTTTGGTTTTGTTTCAAAATTCGGAGACATTTCAATGTTCCGCCTCGAGTCGGTAAAGATCAAAGCGTCTATGTTTTGTTCGTATAGTTTACGACAAGTTGTCGGCGCAGTGTGGATGACGTGTGTTGCCAACAGTGTAGGAGACCCAGGGGCCTTATTCTGTAAGTATTTTACCGATCGATTCGGTAGAATTTCTTCGGTTGTGACGACATTTTCGATTCGGTAGCGCGTAAAGCTAGTCCGTAGCTCCGAACCGAACGGAAACCCTACCGAATCCTCGGTTCGCGTACCGAAAGCTCTAATCGTCTTGGTAACTAATAATAATTATTCTATTCAACAATACATTTTTCTGTCAGGGGTTTGACAGTTTCAAAAAAAGGCTAGAATTTGCGTGCTATTGCAAAGGTTTTGTTTACGAAACACTCGGAAGTATAGTATTAATAAAACAATAGATTTAAAGTGTTAAATAAAGTGAAAATTTGTGATGTTTGTCAGGGATATGAATCTAATCAGCGCAGAGGTTGGTGAACAGGCTAAGAAGAGCACCAAACATATACATACTTTCGTTTTATTAACATGTTGTGTTTTATTTATATTGTGATTATTTATTAAGGGATTTTTTTAATTTAGAATAAATACAATTAAATTTTAACACAAGTTTTAATATAAAGTAATTCTAAAAAAGTTGTTCTAAACATAAACATTATATTAAACAAAATTGAATAAAAAATTTCACTCCTTCTCCAACCCACATCTTCACGACATTTTGTAGCAAAAGAAAAAAATGAATTATTAATCATATATCATATTTTTATAAAAAATGTATATTTTACGCTTCTGTACACTATGCATATTTTAAAAGTATATTTGTTTATCAGATTCACATCTTCATAGTATTCGCAATGGCATGGCAGTTGCTGTATTCTCAACAGCAACTGCCTTGCCTTTCCTATATTACCAAAGAAGATTCAACAGCGAGCATTCTTCTTTTTTCTGTAAAATTTTCAAGTACTTGTATAAAGCGAAGCGAGACTTCTCTCTGCTGCATAGTCATACGGATTCCCTTCGGTGCCTAAAAGAATATTTAATTTTACTTACTCCTTCTGGAAAATAGATCTTATTTACCTGTAAATCTGTTATCACTCACTTATCCTGAAACCTTTAGAAAAAGTTGAACAGAAGCGTTATAAAAAGGTGAATTTGAACATATACAAAATTTGAAAGCGTCACTGTCACTATCACGTCCTACTGTCATGCTGAAATAATGTCTTTAATAGTATAAGTCTTTTATCTATGGTCATGCTCTAACCATGATTGTTTTTCGGTTGCTTCGAAACCGAACCGAACGGTTGCCGAACAGCGATACAGAATCGCAACGCGCGCTACTGAACGTAACATTCGACAACTCTATCGTTCGGTAGTGAACCGGATCGAATTTTCGGATCCGAAACCGAAAAAGATACAGAATAGGGTCCCAGTGAAATCACACATGGTTAATAAAACTCATTCGCAACAACTAAACTTTTGACTTTGTTGTATTTGTGTCCTTGCGGTGTGGACAATTTGTCTCAAGTTTGTCTTGTCAGAATTCCCCATTTTTTGTTGCAAGTTTGTCTTGTTTTTGTCTCAAAATCGTGTTTACTTTTTGTCGCTTTGGTCTGGACCCGGCATTAGGAATAATTAATTTCAATATTTTATATTATAGTAGATATGAGTGGCTTGAAAATCTTTTTATCTGCTAAGCATAAAGAAAGATATGCTTTCTACAGTAAATTATATGGCGAGATACTAATTTTCTTGTTTGTATTTAGACTTTTAGATAAAGTGGAAGGAAGATACGCGTTTATTAGTTTAAGTTTTATTATAAGAATCGTGGAAGCCATGGGAAATGCGGCTTTCTTGACGGCAAGTTTCGCTATAATCGCCAAAGAGTTTCCTGATAATGTCGCAACAACATTTGTAAGTATATAAAATTAAAGGTTTCAAATATATACCGAATTATGCATCAGTTTAAGGGTGCAAAATTTAAGAGTGTTTATTGGCCCTCCTATTGATTTTAGAAGAAACTTATAATGGAATTTTTTATAGTACTGGATTAGATAAGGCTACCTAACCACTAAGAAACTCTTCTGCTAAGCCGTTTTTAAATTATTTGCAAAATTAGGTTACAAATACCTTGTACAAGGGTAAAACGAAGATCAAGGGACATCGTCGAAATTTTTGTTGTAATATGAGGGAAAGATGTAATAATAACTTTTTTTTTAATATTTGTTAGTAGCCGAGGGATGTCCCACTGTTGGAATTACATGTACATTTTCTAGGCAGTCGTTGGCAGTCATTGGCATCAGTTGACTATAACTATATGGCAGATATAGGCAGTAAAATGATATTTTGGCAGTACATGTACATTTTTTACCCAAGTGAGACACCCCTCGTTGGTAGCTATTTCCTCAAAAGTATCACATCAAGTTTCGGGATTACCGAATAATACTTTTACCTGACACAAAATGCGTTACCCGGCAACACTTCGAATCTGAAGGAGGTGTAGTGTTGCCGGTATCGCATTGAGTGTCAGGCAAAAGTATTAGGTAATCCCGAAACATCGAGTTGTATTCAAAAGATTATATAACGAAATAAAGTACATATATCATTCTTATCTTAAACATTTTTATTATAATAATTATTAAGAACTGACGAGATGTTTTATAGAACTGACAGAAATGACTTCTGAATTAATATTTCAAAAAATGACAATTACAATATGGCCACCAAGCGATAATCACATAAATGATTATCACTTATTAATCACATCCTTCTATATAGGAAACATATACATAGAGTTGTACAATCTCTTTAATTGAATATTTCATGACACAAAAATATGTTTTAAACTTCAGTGCTTTAAAAATGTACCATGTATCATTATTGCAAAAGGTGCCCGGTGGCGTAGAGGTACAGGCTCTCGTCTACCAATCTCAAGGTGTGGGTTCGATTTCCGTGGGTACCTAGGTCGACTCAGCCTTAAATGAGTACTTGGGATTCACAATCCTGAGGTAATAATAGGCGGTTGAAGCGTAGTGCTAGCCACATTACCTTCCTTGTATACCGAACGGCTCTAGCATAGCAAGCTGTACCTTGCTACTCCCAAGGCGTTAAACGCTATATACGGGAGCTATTATTATATTATCATTATTGTATGGCAATATCATAAAGTTTAATAAATTACTGGTGGCCAGAGTGTTTTATCGTTGTAGAAGTTACTTTTATAAGGACCTAATTTTGCAAATAATTTAAAAACGGCTTAGAGGAAGAGTTTCGAAGTTGATCTAATCTCGTATCTGATCTAATCCAGTACTTTAAAGAGTTATAAGTTTCTTCTAAAATCAATACGGGAGCCAATAAACGACACCCTTATAATTTACATGGGATTAGGTAACGGTTAAAATTTATATTAATTTTTAATTTTAAAGGCGTCTTTGGAGACATTCTTCGGTCTGGGATTAATTGTGGGTCCCACCGTTGGAGGTGCTCTATACCAAGTGGGAGGATACACTCTACCATTTGCCGTCATGGGATCGGCATTGTTTGCCTCTGCTATATTAGCAGCCATAATTTTACCCAAACAAGAATCCAAACGTGATAAAGAACCTAGCCGTAAGTACAATTAAGAGAATTAAGAGATAAAGTTCGGATTTTTCATATTCCGATATTCCGGATGACTTTTTTAAAATTTTATAAACCACAGTCTTTTTTCTTCTTCTAAACTTAATCTACTACTAATTGCCAAATTATTTATTAACTGAAAATTTAAATATTTTCCAAAAATTTTTTTGAAAATTACAAAATTTTTTCTCACCAAACATTTCTTATAATTTAAAAATATTTCCACTTATTAAAGAGTATATTACGCTGTACTCTCGGGTCGCTCTCGGGGGTCGGGTAAAGTGGGTGTGTGGCCGAAAGAAATATATATTATATTTCAGAAATCTGCCTAAGGCTTAGGTTGACCTGTCGTGTTAAACCTCACCCAAAATTTCAAACACATGTACTTTGATTAAGGCTTGATTAAGGTTTGCAGAGCTTCAACATTTACCATAAAATAGTGAGCAATTTTTTATAAAACCATATAAATTACATATCACTGTAATCAGAAAACTTCAATCCATTTCCGTATTGTAATATTTTGTTTTACCATCAAGATCTTAAAAATAAAGAAGTTGTCTAAAAATGTCCTACAATACGGATATAGCATAATCCTTTATCTTTAATTTCCTTCTAAATTTATGTAAAAATACATAGCCAGTTTTATATAAAACGTTAAATGCCGAACGCTTATTTTGCTACTTTTTCGGACTAGTTAAATGGACTCTTAAGACTCACTCTGTATAGTTTATATAATAAAAATATACGCGGTAAAACGAGGAACTTCTGTACTCAAAAATACAAAAAATACTAAAATAAGAAATTGCTATTATTTACCTCATTCGTCGACTTTAACATTGACTACTTATTTTATTTAACATGAATTCATATTGGGGTGTTCAATATTTTATATGTTTTCTTTTTACTATTCCAGCATCAGTATTCAAGGCCCTAAAAGTACCAGGCATAGTGATAGCCTGTGCCAGCACAGCAGTGACCAGTACCTCGATAGGGTTTCTTCAGGCCACCATGGAACCACATCTCAGAGTCTTTCAGCTGAAGCCTTTCATTTTGGGGTTAATGTTCGTCATTAATGGAGGTGTTTACGCTATTACTGCACCGGGTTGGGGATGGTTATGTGATAACTTTATTCCTCCCAAGTTTGTCACGATAACCGGCAGTGTATTGGTTGCTGCTGGGTTTTGTTTGATTGGACCTGCACCGTTCTTTACTTTTCCTTTGTAAGTACTATAGAGTTGGGAAGTTTAGTTCACTTAAGTGATTTCCATTTTTTCGATCTCGTTCAGCAAAGTGAATCTACAGGGTGAGTCAAATTCGAGGCTTTTAAAGGGAAACACCCTTTTCTATAGACGAGGACTAATATGGGTGTCTGGAGCTCAATTTATATCAAAAACTGTTATCTGTTACCGTTTCGGATTTACGGGGTGTTTTTCAAAAATGTGCATTTTTAACAAATCGCTGTAACTTTTTTGCTATGGAAAATTTGGTATTTTTATGAAAACATTTTCAAAACACCTTTTTACGTATAATTTAATGGTTTAAGTATTTTTTTTTAATTAATAATTTAAAAATTATTAATAGAAAATTTAATTTTTTATATGGGACACCTTGTATTATATTATTAATTCATTGAAAAGAATATAAAATAACCTTTCCAAAAATATAGTATACTTGATATTTTGCTCAATTCCTCTTTGAGATATAGAATTTTTTAAAATTCGCCCACTTTGAATAAGTAGGCATTGAACGCCGCCGCCTGTAATGCAAAAAAATTCTAGCTGTGAGCAGCAATTGAAACGGAAATAATATATGTATGCAATGAGAGATGCAGAATTTTATAACAATTTAAACTATATTTAATAACATCAACATATTCAAACTATATCTAATAACAATAAAAATTAATAGCAAACCAAGATATGAGATTTTGTTACAAGCGTTCGGCATGTCGAACGTCTTCTGTTATGGACTGACGAGACTGTTTTTGAACATTTCTCGCGGAATTCATTAACTCAGTGGGGGTGAAAGATACCCTCGCATAACCGCTAAGTATTTCTAATTCTTGTCTATATTATACGCGCAATTTAAAAATAAGAACTTTTATTCTTCCACAAAGAAAAAAAAAATCTGGCGGCCTCGGCGGCTTACGGCTGGGATCTTGGTTAGCTATTCAATTATTCTCGAAATTGGCTGCAAACATTTGCTGATAACTTCAGCGTTCTGAGGCGATGCGATGCCTCGTCTTGCTGGAAAAATATGTTTTCGAGTTCCATTAGGGACAGATCATCAATAAGGGGTTCAAAGCCTACTAGTTAAAAGTGGCGAACATATAAAAATTCTGTATCTCGAATGGGACTTTAACAAAATATCAAGTGTGCTATATTTTTGGAAACGTAACTTTAAGTTCTTTTCACTTAATTAAAAATATACAGGGTGTCCTATATAAAAATCAACTTTTCTGTTGATAACTCTTTAATTATTAATTTTAAAAAAATAAAAAAACTTAAACCATTAAAATCTACGTAAAAAGGTGCTCTGAAAATGTTTTCACGAAAATACAAAATTTTCCATAGCAAAAAAGTTACAACAATTTGTTAAAAATGCACATTTTTGAAAAATACCCCGTAACTCATAAACAGTAACAGATATCGATGGGCGGTTTTCACCATTATCTTTTTGATAAAAATTGAGCTACAGACACCAATATTAGTTTTCGTCTGTCTCCTATAGAAAAGGGTGTTTCCCTTTAAAAGCGTCGAATTTGACCTACCCTGTACAGAAGACTAGTTCGTTTAATTCACTGAGTTGTAGTATTCGCATTTCGCATAGTGAAAGAATGGAAAGAATTAAAATAACTATAAATATCAAACAATATTTCAAAGTGATATAATGAGTATCGTTTAACATTTCCGATTAATTAATTGATAATTATTGATCAAAAATATTAAATTATTCTAGGACTACTAGGATAAATATAGGGTATTATTTTATTCATTGAGAACTGGTGTTTAGAAATAAAAAATATTTACGGTCACTGTATGTAAATAGATATTTCAAACAGAAGCTCTAATGGCAACAATTTAGCAGTCAGTAATCATTACTTGTCAATTATTTGAATCATTATATTACAATACATAATTGTATGTTAATTTAACACTAATAATATATCCCTAGAAAATAAATACATAGATTAAACGTTCATGTATTCACCACGATCATTTTTTTTATTTTTTTTTAAAGTATCTTTTCTTTTTTATTGTTTGACTTCTATTGCTATTTTGTTTGACGTATCTGTTATTTATAAATATAAATAATATACATTACCTCACATTCATACACTTAATATATTAATTATTATATTATTTACAGTAATGTTATACTATTTTTTTAGAACATTATGGGTATGCATTCTTGGATTGGTTTTGCACGGACTTGGCATGGCAGCTCAACTTGTAGCATCATTTGGCGATGCTTTAAGAACAGCAGTGTAAGTATTCCTCTTTTTCCATCGTAAAAAAAATATTTTTCACAGCAGATTAATAATATCAAATAAACAGAATGAAATTATAGTACGTAAATAATAACTGTTAATAGCTGTTATTCTAGTACATATTTTTGTGTTATTTAAGTACCTATATGTGTAGGCAAACTTCACTGAGCGATTTTCAAGCAAACAGTTTTATATTTTGCATTTAGAGGTAAAAAACAGTATGTAGCTTTCAGGCATTATTGTTTTTCAAAATATTCTTCACGAAAACCAATAATTCTGAAATCAGTTATTCCAATCGCTGGTTGGCTTCAATTGCGTTTTTGAAAGCGCTGACTGCATCTCCTGGGGACTGGAAACTTTGACCATACAATTCATTTTTAAATTTTGGAAAAGTATAGGGTCCTATCGAGGATAGTCCAACAATTCGACGTTTTCCTGCTTTAAAAACTCAATTGTTTTCGAGCTGTGTGGGAACCTGCATTGTCTTGATGGAGAATAATTCATCGATGAGAGTTGGTTTTTCGAAAGTCAGCAATTACTTCCGGCAAACAAATATATATGTATCAATAAGCAGTAACAGTTCTTTGATCTTGCAGAGGAATTGTTGCTACATGACTCACTTTTGAGACAAATGTTGCCACCTTTTTGGAAACACTTCGAGAACAGATAACTTTCATCGGTTTTGGTTTATCGCGGAACACCCAACCAGTCGATTGAACTTTATTTTTCGGTTCAAAAGAGTAAAGTACGCGCTGACAAGTCAGGGATTCTTCTGAGAACAGGGCCAATGTTGTATGTAAGCTGATCCAAGAAGATCGACATTTCGCATATCGTGTAATTGCAGCACAATGGTGCATTTCAAAGCCCTCAATTCAAAACATGTTACATGAAGAATTATCTGTAAAAAATTAGTTTCTAATCGGGAAGATTAAATTTCTTGATCTCGCCAAAACTATCAACGATTGTCATTTCCTAGCCATCTCTGACGTCTTTTTTCGATCGTACGGTATTTTATTGTTGAATATAATGATTTTGTATTAATGTCTAATTGAGTACGCAAACATCTATGTTGTTAAAAAATCAATTTAAAGTTTTTCTTCTATATTTCAGAGCTTATGATTTTCCAAACAACGTGGAAACTTTTGGACTTATATCCGGTCTCTGGACCAGCACCTTTGCATTAGGAGCTTTCCTAGGTCCTTCCATCAGTGGAATTCTCTACGATAGCGTTGGATTCGCCCATTCATCCCTATTTATCGTCGTGATACATCTTTTAGTTGGTTTAGTGACATCGATATACATTTGCGTATCCAAGAAACCCACACCCTACGTGGAAATCAAGGAAGAACAACTGCCTGAAAACGACATTAATCACTCGAATACCAAGTCTATCGCAAGTGTAATGGAGAGCATGAAGAGGTATGTATCTACATATATATATATATATATATATATATATATATATATATATATATATATATATATATATATATATATATATATATATATATATATATATATATATATATATATGAAATGATTATATGGATGACAGTGAAGTTGTTATATAGGGTGCTCCAATAATGTTGCGCAATTTATACAGGATGGTCCGAATTGTATTCGTGAAAGTTCGGCATCATATTCTGCAAATAAAACTCACAAGTTTACGAGAAAGATGTACCGGTTAAAACGGTAATAGACCAAGCTTAGAGAACAGTGCAGTCACTATCAGTAAAATAGATTCGTGATTTTATTAATTTTTATTCTTTTTCTTCTTAATTTTTATAAAAATTAGATCTCATTTATCTGGAAAAACGCTAAAAAAATAAAACTTATTTGGTATTTTTTGAACTTTTTGTATAAGTAGTTAATGTTATTTAAAATATTTATAGCACGCCCATGAATTGCTCAGTTGCTCCGTAGCTACAAAACAGATCGACGACCTGTATACAGGGTGGTCCGAACTGTATTTTGGAAACTTGGGCAGCATATTATGCAGATAAAAATAAGAAAAAAGTTCGTATAAATGTACAGGGTGGGTCAAATTCGACGCTTTTAAATGGAAACACCCTTTTCTATAGGAGATAGACGAAAACTAATATAATATCGGTGTCTGGAGCTCAATTTTCATCAAAAACATGATGGTAAAAACGCACATCAATATCTGTTACCGTTTTGGTGTTACGGGTGTTTTTCAAAAATGTGCATTTTAACAAATCGCTGTAACCTTTTGCTATGGAAAATTTTGTATATCTATGAAAACATTTCCAAAGCACCTTTACGTAGAATTTAATGGTGTAAGTATAATTTTTTAAAATTAATAATTTAAGAGTTATCAACAGAAGAATTGATATTTTATTTGGGACACACTCTATATTTCTAATTAACTGAAAAGATATTACTTTATATTTTGTTATAATCCTCTTCGAAATACGGAATTTTTAAAAAGTTCGCCACTTTTAACTAGTAGGCTTTGGACCCCTTATTGATGATATGCCCTTAATGGAACTCGAAAACATATTTTTTCCAGCAAGACGACGCACCGCCTCTGAACGCTGAAGTTATCAGCAAATTTTTCCAGCCAATTTCAAGAATAATTGACTAGCTAACCAATATCCCAGCCGTTGGCCGTAGAGGCCGCCTGACTTAGTGCCCATGGATCTAATCCTATGGATATATTTGCGGAAGAATAAAGGTCCCTTATTCTTCCGTATAATCTAGACAAGAATTAGAAATACTTAGCAGTTATGAGAGGGCATCTTTCACCCCCACTGAGTTAATGAATTCCGCGAGAAATGCTCAAAAACTGCCCCCTCTGTCCATAACAGAAGACGGTCGATATGTCGAACACCTGTAGCAAAATCTCATGTCTTGGTTTGCTATTTATTTTTATTGTTATTAGATATAGCTTAAATGTGTTGATGTTGGTTAAATATATTTTAAATGGTTATAAAATTCTGCATCTCTCATAGCAAATATTATTTCGTTTAATATTCGTTTTAATTAATGGTCACAGCTAGAATTTTTTTGCATTACAGCCGGTGCCGTTCAAAGCCTACTTATTTAAAGCGGGCGAATTTTTATATACTCTATATCTCGAAGAGGAATCGAGCAAAATATCAAGTGTGTTATATTTTTGGAAAGGTAATTTTAAATTATTTTCAATAAATTAAAAATATACATGGTGTCCCATATAAAAAATCAAATTTTCTATTGATAATTCTTAAATTATTAATTTTAAAAAAATTATACTTAAACTATTAATTTCTACGTAAAAAGGTGCTTTAGAAATATTTTCATAAAAATGCATAATTCTCCATAGCAAAAAAGTTACAGCGATTTGTTAAAAATGCATATTTTTGAAAAACACCCTGTAACTCCGAAACGGTAACAGATATCGATATGCGGTTTTCACCATCATGTTTTTGACAAAAATTGAGCTCCAGACACAGATATTAATTTTTGTCTATCTCCTAGAGAAAAGGGTGTTTCCATTTAAAAGCGTCGAATTTGACCCACCCTGTACATATGTCCTAAAATGCTTAGTTTCGCAGATACAGGGTGTAGAAGTTTCATTTTTATTTCGATTTTTCCAAATAATTTCTGAAGTACCGTCATTATTTGGATGAAAATTGGTGTCCGGAAGTTTTTTGACATGAGAAATTTGATTTTGATTTCAATATAACTCCTACTTGTAGAGGGCGCCACCTACATATTTTTAACTGGTTTGAACAGTAATAACTTTTCGTCCGTATCTGTATAAAACTATGGAGTAAAAAATATACATTTACGACATTTTTTAATTAATGTGTGCCCTTTTGTGTTCCCTTTAGATAACTAGAAACAGTGAACTAAAGTGAACTTAAATAAAATCTAGAGAACAAGTGACCAGAGTTCTAGTTATTTCGCACAAGACATATAAAGTTTTTTTCTTAGAATAGGTCCAAGAATCACCTCCTTAAATATTAGCATGTCATTAAGGACCACCCTGTATAATTTTGATTTCTTTTTCAGTATAAGATCTGTCGGCAACGGCATCTCAATCGAGAAAAGCAGACCGCCAGCCATGAACAGCCTGATTGCTTGCAACAGCTACACGAGCCAAGCTTGGAGCGAAAAGGACTCGCCCAGCGTGCTGTTGGGGCCCTACAGCCACAGCTACGGCGCTGTCAAAAGCAGGAGCGTACCTACGGCCTATCTACAGGGTGTATCATAAATAATGTTAATTAATAGATATTACTTATCTTAGGTCTCAAGTTAAATGCAAATAAAATGCAATTATCACTTTCATAATCCGACTTTATTTGAAATCGGAGATCTATGTCATCAAATAATTATGTTTTTTGTATATATACTTTTTTATGTCACGCGTTTGACACAATTTTTGATTGTTTTTTTTAAGTTTGAATGCTATTAGTTTAATTTTTATAGAGTAATAAAACTAAAGAGTTAGGACGAGTTGTTTATAAGTTTCCATTTTTATATGTAGTCCTTTATGTATGTATAAAATAGATAAGAAAGATTTTGACAGACGACATGGAAAAAATGACAGATAAAGGAATTTGCCTGTTTTTTAAAATGACAGATAATCGTCGAGGTCAGAGGTATCATCTCGTTACTCATATTACAAATATTACTATGTCAACCCACTAAAATTTGTACATCCTGTATAACCAAAGAAAAAAAAATAAGAAAACAAAATGCAGCGATATCAGATTTTAAATTTAGATTTTATTACCTGATTAAAAATCTTTTAATTTGTTATTTTCTTATTATCTTATTGTACTAAAATCATTTTTATACCTTTCCGTTCATTTTTCTTGTCTTTTTTGCCTTTTTTACGTTTTGTAATAATAAAATACCTTCATTTTTTTTGTAGTAAAGTTATATATAGACTAAAAGGTAGGTTTACGTCTGCATATAGATTTGTTATTAAGATACGAGAGTAATATGAATGCTTTAATATAATGTATCCATAAAACTTCCAAGTGTAAGAAAAGAATACAATAATTCAGTAGTGAGAAATACAATTTGGTCAAAATGTTTTTTGATCAAATGTGCTTTGAACTTTGAACGAAGACAGAAGAGCGTTTTTTTTTCAGAAGATTTTTTTAATTGTGAAACTATGAGCCCGGTTGATCATAAAACTGTTTGATTATATTGTATATATATTTGTGTAAATAATTTCTTTAAATAATATCATAAGGATATGGTAGGTACTGCTTTTATTTCATGTAGACCATGTTGCTTTGTAAGTTCAAATTATAGAATTAATAGAATTAAAGTTTTTAAAGAAGAAAACTTAATTTGTTACATACCTATTTCTCCTTTAGTAACTCCTCATCAATTTATGGTATTTAGTCCCATAAAAAATATTAATAAAGATCATCATTCATGTGATTAAAGATATTATTTTACTTTGATATTGTTGGTTGCATACGTATCAATACTTAAAAAAATAAAAACTGTTAAAAATATTTATTTAATAATATGAGTTATATTAAGTAATAGACGGAGAGCTGGCTACATAAAAAACCTTATCATCGTTACATGGCTAATTTTTCTTGTGAAGTATCCTTTTGTGTAGCCAATATGAAATAGTGCCAGCGCGACCCCGGGGCTTAAAGCGGGGGCGGCCAATCGAAAGGGTGAAATTTTGACACTAAAAATATTATAAGGTACACGAGTTATAATTGCCAAATAGCTTTTATTTATTATTAAGAAACGTGTAAAACTGTTGACAGACATTTTTCTCGTGGCTAAAATGCCGGCAGACACCGCGAAAGAGAAATGGAATTTGACAAAAAAAACTCTTCGCATACATGCATGTCGATTGGTGGAATGTCATGTTTATTTATTTAAAAAGTCGTATGCAAAAGGACAGACAAAAAATCGTGGTTCGATCAGCCGTCGACAGTTATAAAAAACGCGATATTACTATACAGGGTAAATCTTCAATAAGTGCAAATATTTTCAGAGCTGGTAGATCTCGATAAAAGAAACATATTTTCTTTTTATCGTTTCCCAAATATCTAACAGTCCAAAATAACCGAGTTATTCAAGTTTGAGAATTTAAAAAGAAATTGATTTATTTTTAAATAATTTTGTGAGCCACCTGTTTTTGTTTCTGTACTTGCATCTATTCTTTTAGTGTCGTAGCCATAGAGTAAAGCCGTAAGCATGGTAAGTTAAGAAATAATTATACCGTGGGTAAATTTGCGGTGAACAGGCAGTTCTAAAAAGTTTTCTAAAATATACAGGAAAATTTAAAAATAATGCACGATTTTCTACGTCTTGTTTGAAAAAAAAAACTCTTGACGTGTTCCTGGGGACGAAATATATCACCCTTAAAAGTATTTTCACTTATTTAAGACTCATTCTGTATAAGCGTTTTCAGGAAACGCTGGCCGCGTTATCAATTGAAACATAATACCTGTAAGTCTACAAAAAATTTACGGTGTAGATATCGACTCCGAGGAAGGCCCGTTTGCGAGAGCGGGGATCTACAGTACGATGAGTCACATACAAATAGTAAAACAGAATAGTAAATGTATGATATCTGTTTTAAAATAATAAAAAAATATATTTATAATATAATCGTATACCACATGATTTACCTATACTTAAATGGATGAGGCGGCGCGGGCGGCGAGCGTTCCCTGAAAGCGCTAGAGTAATATCGCGCTTTTGATAACTGTCCGCAGCTGATTTAGCCACGATCTTTTTGTCTGACCTTTTGCATACGGCTTTTAAAATAAATAAATATGACATTCCACTAATCGGCGTGCATGTAAGCCATACTTTTTTTCATTCTTCAAATTTCATTTTTTAATAATTTTTAAAATTGCATGCCTCTTTCGTGTCGCCTGTCGGCATTTTAGCGACTAGACAAATGCCTGCCAACAATTTTCCACGTTTCTTAATAATAAATAAAAACTATTTTCGCAATTATAAGTCGTGTACCTTATAATATTTTTAGTGTAAAAAATTCACCCTTTCGATTGACCACCCCCGCTTTAAGCCCCGGGATCGGGCTGGCAGACATGACTATGTCATAATGGCTACATAAAAGGATACTTCACACCAAAAATTAGCCATGTAACGATAATAAGGTTTTTTATGTAACCAGCTCTTAGACTATAATTGAAGAAGGGTTTTATAAGTATAAATAATTTGAATATACAAGATATGAATTAATACAAGTGCCAAAAAATAATTTTAATTTTTTTGTCGTACAAAATTCTTCGATTTGGTGTTCCTAAAAATACATTTCAACTTTCAAATTTCAAAATAAGATGAACCAAAATCACGATATACACGGTGTCTCATAAGAATGTACGCTACGGAAATTTCGTAAATTGGTAAAATGCCAATCCCTGCCTTTTTATCTCTTCTAGTTACATTACTATTAAATTAACTACTATTGATTTAATATAAAATATTTGTTTAATATAAAGTTTGACTAAAAGTCAAACCTTTAGAATCAATAAATAACAATGAAAACCATTACACAAATCGATATTTTTATCGTAAAACAATAAATATTTCGTAAGTTCGTGATCCGCAAACAAAATCGTCCATTATTTACGCAGTTAGCGATTTTATATGCAGTACCATAATAGTACGATGCTCGTTGCAAAAGAAACACAAAGATAAACTTATAACAAACGAATTAGTCGTTATTACCGGTGACATTTATCATGCTTTACGGTAACAATGACTTTTAAGTTTCCTGTTATTCTAAGCCGCCACAATCGCCAATACAGTTAGTGCATTAATTTTATGTGACTTTGAGTTACTGCAAGTTTAAAGCTTCGCGAACCAATTCCCTAGCAAAAAAGCGTTTAGAAAAACGGCAAAATCTATAATCTAAATAAATAAAACAAAGTCGGATACCATTTATAACACAAGAACGTCTGGACCGATTTTAATGCCTGCTGATTTGTTGGATTCGTCTCTCACGATCCTGCTTAAACCACTCAACGTAAGAAGCTCAATTTTGGCATACAGGTTGATTCTAGGGTGGAGGTTCGATAAGAAGGGATTTTTCGAAATTCCAGTTCCAAGCCACCCTTCAAATATTACAATATTTTCTATTTAAGAAACGGTCAAGTTTCCGAAAAAACGCTTAAAGACGTATATTTTATATTGTTTTTTACATATTTTAAGATTTTTTTAAAATCTATACAGGGTGTTTCGAAAAATCTGGTCATTGATTAATCACGATCCTGCTTAAAGCGCTTGACGTAAAAACCTGATTTTTGGAAAACGGATTGACCTCAGGGTGTAGAGGTTCGATAAGAAGGGATTTTTCGAAACTGGGATTCTAAGGGGGTGAAACCACCCCTCAAATATTAGAATATTTTTTATTTAAAAACCGGTGAGTTTTTCGGAAAAACTCTAATAAAACGTATATTTTATTTTGTTGTTATACATATTTTAAGATTTTTAAAAAAAATATACAGGGTGTTTCATAAAATATGACCATTGAGTAATCATGATTCTGCTTAAACTGCTTGACGTTTAAAACTGATTTTTGGCAAACAGATTGACTGTGGGGTGTATAGAGGTTCGATAAAGAGGGGTTTCTCAATTGTTTTTTCTCATGCTGACATAAATGTGAGAAAATTTTATCCAGTTTGTATGTTAATGGAAATTCTTGCTTTGCTTTATCATCACCATTACAAATGATTAATCGACGCGAACCAAGTCGCGGGTATCCGCTAGTAATAGTATATTTATTGTAAATATACCCCTCCGTTTATATTAAAATGTCATCTTTTCTCATTTCTTTGTTACTCCGTGTATCTTCCTAATTTTCACTTTAATGTATTCGCACTTACGACGACAACATTAAACTGGCGTTGCTAACGATTATGGCTGATTATTTTCCGAAATGAAAATGAGTGAAACTTTTGACAGCAGCTATAGATAAGTATTATGCGACTTTCACAACTTGTAAGCCGAACCCTTCCTCATTAAAATTAACGTTCTCTAAATAGTATTTTTCAAATATTTTGAAATTTACAAACATAAAACATAATTCAAATTAATAGGATTAACGAATGAGTACAAAATAGTTATTTCTTTTAGGTTAATTAGCCATTCATTAATATACATTCATTATTTAAAAAACTCACCCACCGAAGGTTTCTTATAAAGATTATATTTTTATGAGTTAATTACAAATGCATAGTTTTTAGATTTTTCTCTATACTTGTAGTACAATATGATCGAAAAAAAAAACGGCCTCAGAGATGGCTATGGAATGAAGACCGCTGTCTTTTTATATGTAAATTTATAGGGCAACTGTCATCGATCGTCATTTCCCAGCCAACTGGACGCCGTTTTTTTTTTCGATCATACGGTCGTATCTCTTTTTTTACGTTTACAGCTTCGAGGGACTGTAGACTTTAGTATACATTGAAAAAAAAAATAATTTTACAAAAAAATATTGATATATTAGAGTATTTTTAAGAAGCTTGTAAAAATAAGGTATTTTTGCATAATTTCACAAAAAAATGTAATTCTGTGAAACCAGTTTATTAATACTAAATGATTAATATTAAACTATATTATTTTCACATTGAGTTTTGTGAATTTAAAAATTAAATTTAAATCAGAAATACAATCTTGCAGTAAAATTGCATGTTTCTAGACATATTGACAAAACTTGTGTGAATTTACCATAATATATTTAGTAAAAATGACACCGCGTCACGTGACTTCCTGTGAGACGGATGTGTATCAAGTAATCGACGTAGTTAGAGGGAACAATGAACGACGAAGAACATTTTAATATAATAAGAATAAGCAGTTTTTTGGAACAGCTGGGAGTCTCAGTGCGTGGGTAATTAGTCCTTTAATAACTGAAGGGTAAGCATATTATACTCATTATGTTTATATGTAGTTCCTAGAAATATAAAACCATCTCTCTTAGAAAACCACAATCTCCATTTTTTATAATTATTTGCATTTTAATTTCAGCAATTTTTTTAAATAAACATAATTGTTCCTGATCTCTCTATATCAACATATCTCTAAGTATTATTTATTCTTTCAGACTGTGTTTCGCAGGATAAATTTAATAGAGAACCGGAGTAGAAGACTCTAACCTAGCCTAACCTATCTAATGGTAATTTTGTTCCTATTTTGGTTAGGCGCAGAATTTCACTAAGGTTCTTTTAGACAAGAAGAGATGGCAATGAGTATATTACATACATAAGTTCTGTTTTGTGACTTTTATTAACCTTCATAATAAATATTATAATTAGAAATACGTGTTTTATTAAATTTATTAATCTTT